AACCTTTAACACAAAATGAATCATAAACCTAAAGGTAGAACCTAAAAGTTTAAAGCATCTAGAATAAAACAAAGGAGAAAACTTGTATGACCCCAAGGTAGGCAGATTTCTTAGATACTGCGCTAAATGTGTAATCTATAAAAGAACAGCTTGGTAAACTGGCCTTCATCAACATTTGTGAAAACTCTAATCTTCAAAAGATACTGCAGAGAACAAAAACACAAATCTCAGACTGGGAGAAAAACTTTGCCTCATGTTTTTCTGGAACTTGAATCTAGAGTATGTAAAGACTTTTTTTTTTTTAATTGAGACAGAGTCTTGCTCTGTCAACCAGCCTTGAGTGCAGTGGCACAATCTCAGCTCACTGCAACCTCTGCCTCCCAGGTTCAAGTGATTCTCCTGCCTCAGCCTCCCAAGTAACTGGGACTACAGGTACATACCACCACATCCAGGTAATTTTTTGTATTTTTAGTAGAGACGGGGTTTCACTGTGTTAGCCAGGATGGTCTCGATCTCTTAACCTCATGATCCGCCCGTCTCAGCCTCCCAGAGTCCTGGGATTACGGGTGAGAGCCACAGTGCCCGACCGTAAAGACTTATTAAGACTTGATCACAAGGAAATGACTCGATTTTTGTTAAGTGGGCAAAATATTTGGATAGACACTTACTAAATAAAATATAGGGGTGGCAAATAATCACATGAAAAGATGCCTAACATCAGTAGTTATTAGGAAAATGCAAATAAAAACCACAGTGAGGTATCACTGCTTACCTATTAGAATAGCTAAAATTAAGGCTACTATTCTAAAAGTTGACAACAATGTGAAGTAAGTGGAACTCTCATATACTGCTGGTGGGAATGTAAAACACAGCCACCATTTTGGAAAACACATTGGAAATTACTTAAAAAGTTAAATATATAACTGCCTGTCATATGATCAAGCCATCCCATACCAAGATATTTACCAAAGAGAAATTAAAGCATATGTTCATACAAAGACTTATACACACATTTCTAGTTTTGTTTGTAATAGTTAAAAACTGTCCATCAACAGATGGAAACAACTGTCCATCAATAGACGAATGGATGTCCATCAACAGGTGAATAAACATCAGTATATCCATATAATGGAATACTACTTAGCAATGTAAAAGAGATTAACTATTGAGATTAACTACATGCCACAATTTCAATAAGTCTCAGAATAATTATGCTGAGTGAAGGAAGCCCAACAAGAAGTGTATACAGTACTCTAGTATTGCATGAGAGTAAAACTCTGCAAGATACTGACTAATCTATGGTGACAGAAAGCAAATGAGAGCTTGGGAATTGGGGGAGGGGGATGGTATGAGAAGGTTACTCAGGGACGTGAGGGACTTTTAGGTGCCATGGAAGCGTTCACTGTCTTGATTGTACTGTTTCATGAGTGTATATAGATGTCAAAATTTTTCAAATTGTATACTTTGTGTGTAGTCTGCTTGTGTCAGTTTTTCTTCAATAAAGTTGCTTTTTCAAAAAAGAAGCAGCAGAAGCCAGGGCTCATCTTTTTCACTTCTACATTCCAGCCAGAACTGGACACCCCTGCCAAGAGGGATCAAGGGCATGTACTTCTAGAAATGCAGCTGACACAGGAGCCACTTCCACTCTAGGCTGGGCCTCCAGCAATGCACTCTGTACCCCTGCCTTAAATCTGAGCCTGTCACTCTTCTGTCAGTCTTGTTCTTCATTGTCCCATCCCAGCCCTGTCCTCAAAGCCTTGGGGCTATTCCCATTGCCTTTAACGTTTCCCACCCACAGGGCCGTCTGGTCCTGACTCAGCAGAGAGATCATGAGAGACAGCTGAAGTAAGAGGAATCATCTGGACTCATCTGCAGCCACCCTCTCCCCAACCACCACAAGAAATAATGGGCACAGGAAGCTTTGGGGCTGTGGCTCTTGGGCAGAGTTACGCAAACCCAGTTGGCAGCAAACACGGCTTTTGTTCACATAATTTTTTTTTCCAAAAATCAGCCCTGTTGTAAACAATTCAGGATGTTTTCACCCTTGGGAAACTATGTGGATGGATTCAGAACTGCCTCATGAAATGAACTCACTGTAATGGAGTAAACCACTGGAACAGGACCACCATGCTAGCAAGTGGTTTGCAACTTACTCAATGAAAGCATGAATGGACCAAAGTCTCAAGATTTAAAAAAAAAAAAAAAACCCAGCTTAAAATAGCCTTCTAGACTTCATTTTAATGGAGTCCCTGTCTATTCAGGGACTTTCGTAAATAACCCCACAATTAATGACGTGTTTATCAGCAAAGCCACTCACCTGAAAATATACAGTGGTTGATGTCCTCTCCGGGTATGTTTATTTTTAAGAAAGAAAGACAGCCTAAGGATAAAAATAGAGCAGCAGCACTCAACTAAATTTGCAGCCAGTTTCCCCAGGAGCCTCAGGTATATCCTATTTGGAGAAGAGTTCAATCTGAGGTGATAGAGGAATCTTAGCTTCAACAGTTCACAACTGTTTTTGTTTTTAATCAAAGTAACCGTTCTCTCTCGTAATGCTATTGTTGGAAGACAATTACAGTGCCTAATCAGTGGATCTTCTCTTATCAGATGTATTTTTATGTGGCATCATATCTAGAGCATAGCATGTGATTATTAGGTTGGTGCAAAATTAATTGCGGTTTTCATCATCACTTTCAGTGGTGAAAACCAAAATTAGCTTTTGCACAAACCTAATACGTGGGGTTAACATACTGAGTGGGACCTTAATCAGATCCTGTCACACTTCTGTCAGAGACATTTCCATTATTTCTCATTGCATTTAGAATGGAATCAAGATGCCTAAGTGGGACCTATTGGGCCTCAGTGGCACCTGGCCTGGTCCCAACCCACCTCATCACTGTGTTCAGACACACCTGTTTTCTTTCAGATTCTCACACAGCCCAAGATCTTTCCCCGACCCCAGTCCTTGGCCATGCTCTTCCTTATTGTCCCTCTTTTTCTCAAGGCCAGCTCATCTCATCTCCAGTGTCTTGGCTGGAAAGTCACCTATGAAGCCATTCCTTTTCCATCTTCTTGTCACTGTACTCCACCTGTTTAATTCCTTCACAGCACACATTATAACCAAGCTCTGGAGATGTTTAAAGGGGTCTCTTTCTTTCATTAAAGTGCGAGTTCTGTGAGGTCAGGAACTACATTTATTTATTCATTGTTTTATTCTCAATGGAAAGTATCCCTTGTGTATCTGAAATGCCCAGATGTGTTTCGGATTTTTTGTTTTCCAAATTTTGGAATATTTGCATTATGCCTGGTTTGAGCACCCCAAATCCAAAAATCTGAAACCCACAATGTCCCGGTAAGCATTTCCTTTGAGCATTGTGTTGGCACTCAAAAAATGTCAGATTTGGGAACATTTCAGTTATCAGATTCTTGGCTTTGGGATACTCAAACCTGTATAGGTACTGGCATATAGTAGATGCTCAATAAATAATTGTTAAATATTAAATGAATAATGATTCATATTCTAATTTATTTCTACCACCCTTTCACCCTACCCCAAACTCCATAGCCCAATTCAAGCATCCTTCCCCATTCATATCTTCATTCTTCCTCTTTCCATGAAATCTTCTCTGAGCTTCACATTTTTTCAGCGTTCAAAGACAAACCATAGGAAGTGCCAGAAACATGCCTGGAACATAGTGAGTGCTCTATAAATGCAGCCACATTAGTATCACCAGGGTCACTTCTTCCAGTGTATTCCTACAGCTGTGTTTCCCAGACATCAGTTTTTCCCTTACTGTCTTCCCAATTTTTCATATAGCCCCAATACCATCAAATTTACTGTGCTACTTTTGATATAAATTGTTTCTGTCATAATGTCTTTCTACCTATAGAAATGTATTTCTAAGGAAGGTTATAGAAATTAAAACTCATTTCACTGACCGTAAAAGGGAACAACTAAAAATAAAATAATAGGCTATTTTCTTCTGTTTTCTTTTCTTTTTTTTTTTTTTTTTTTTTTTTTTTTTTTTTTTTTTTTTTTTTTTTTTGAGATGGAGTCTCACGCTATCACCCAGGGCTAGAATGCAGTGGGGTGATCTTGGCTCACTGCAACCTCTGCCTCCTAGGTTCTAAGTTATTCCCTGTTTCAGTCTCCCGAGTAGCTGTGATTACAGGTGTGTGCTACCATGCGGGAGCTTTTTTTCTTTTTTTGTATTTTTAGTAGAGATGGAGTTTCACCATGTTGACCGGGCTAGTCTTGACCTCCTGACCTCAAGTGATCTGCCTGCCTCAGCCTTCCAAAATGCTGGGATTACAGGAGTAAGCCATTGCACCTGGCCTGTTTTCTTTTTTTAAGGGAGATTAACTGCTGTTAGAGATATGACACTATTCTGAGTCTTTCTCCATGACACAATCAGAAGGACTGAAAATTTTTTAATGACTTCCTCACTTCATGCATCATTAGTATTTAAAGCCATAACTATGTCCATCTAAAATCATCCCACATATTACTATTACTGTCCTATTGTGTTGTTACTAATACTTTTCACTTGGCATTTATTATTCTCTACCTGGATTGGCTAGTTACATGTTTATATCTACATCTCACCTCACTATCTTATTTCTCTTTATATCTTTCAGGGTTCTTGGGTCAATACCTTGTACAGAATATATGTTCAGTGCAATTTAAGTTGACTCTAATACTTATGGTTTCAAACCAACTTGGTCAAAACTTCAAAATATTTTTCCAAACTTCAAAATAATTTTAAAAGAGATACATTGAGAGACTGTACTCAGAAGTCCTTCTAATTTCTCTTTCCCTCTGCCCTTCTGATTTCCTGTAGATATGTACCTAAACCATCTCCTCCAGGCCACTATGATTAAATGTCATATATCAACTAGGCAAAGGGCCTAGTATAAGAAATGTATTTCTTACAGGTATGCATACACCTGAAACACACCCTCTAATTTATAAGTGAAATAAAAGCCAAATAAAACCAGAAAAAACTGAATGTCTGATTTATTATGTTTAAGATTGGTTTATAAGGCTTAAATATATCTGTCATAGTTAACAGTTAACAGTAAATAAAGGCAACTTTACAAAATCAGTGTTTCCATACAGTACAGGACTAAATGTGGCAACTGTGCATTGGAAAATTAATATTTCCTCAATGCAAATATTAAACCTGCAGCACCATTTAGAAGCTTCCACTAAAAATTCAAGCTGCAGTATTTATTACAAGCTCTACTCAGAACACAAGGCTACCTAAATCAAGCATTAGAGAAAAACAGTGGAGTCATTCAGGCATAATATGTCAGATTTGGTACAGGATTAAAATACTAACATTTTTAATGTCCTGGTTTCAAATTAATAAATACAAAAACAATATAAAAATATACAACCAGTTGATAAGACTGTACTGCAGATGCTCAGAAAGTTAAATCTCGCTCTCATATGTATGCAGGTATGTCTTCAGCGTCAGAATTTCTGGGTAGCTGCGGCTGGTCTTTCGGAAGAAGTCCAGACCGGTAAGATGTTCGATGTCACGCACCCGAGCTGTGTGCATCTTCATGAGTTCTTCTACCCATTTCGACTCATCCTCTGAGTTCTGCAATGGAAATAGAACAAAATCAGAATCAGAATTTTCCAGAGGAGTTTTCCAAATAGTTTACTCCAAGTCCACAAATGACCTCTGTGCACTCTTGCACACAGAGCCAATGCATGTTGATCCTTCCTGGCGTCCCTGCCACTCTACCGCATTCCTATTGGTAATGTGCCACAAATACCTGCCCTTGGCTGTAAACATTTTCAACAGCAATTAACTGTACCAAATAAACGAGACATGTGGTGTCAGAGGGCATTTGACTCAATGGGTTCTCAGAACATAAATCAAAATTAGGAAAACCAAAGGCCCTAGAGAATTCAGTAATTTGTTTCTTTTCCAAGCTGTCAAATTGCAATATTGAGCACAGAGTACAAGTAATTTGGAATACGCTTCTGCTTCCCAAGGAAAGTGAAGAACTTAAGCCTAATGCACAAAATTGTGTGTGTGCATTCCTAGTTTTTCAAAAGAAACTGCTACATCAACTACATCATCTACTCGTATGCATGAATTGCTATTTGAAAAATGAGGTCAACTCGAAGCTGCTCAGTGGATACATCTGGCACTTTGGAGCCCAAGAGGCCAGAGCTGGAAATGAGGCTCTACTATTTCTTGGCTATGAAATCTTGGTCAAGCTACTTGACTTCTTGAGGCCTCAGTTTCTTCCTTGGTTCACAGGATAATAATGCTTACTTCTGGCCGGCGTGGTGGCTCACGCCTGTAATCCCAGCACTTTGGGAGGCCGAGGCGGGTGGATCACGAGGTCAAGAGATCGAGACCATCCTGGTTAACACGGTGAAACCCCGTCTCTACTAAAACTACAAAAAATTAGCTGGGCATGGTGGCGCGTGCCTGTAATCCCAGCTACTCAGGAGGCTGAGGCAGGAGAATTGCCTGAACCCAGGAGGCGGAGGTTGCGGTGAGCCGAGATCGCGCCATTGCACTCCAGCCTGGGTAACAAGAGCGAAACTCCGTCTCAAAAAAAAAAAAAATAATAATAATAATAATAATAATGCTTACTTCTGCAGCTCCCTGGGAGGTAGAAAGGAGAAGAAGGAAGAAGGGGGTGGGGGGGGAAGGTAAAGTAAGGAAACACGGAAGAAAGGAAGTGAATCTGTCTGTCTTAGCTGCTTGCCGAAAACTGCCCCATTGACACAAGTTCCAGACGAAAGATATTCAAATGTCCTACATCAAACAACTTATTTCATGTCTAACCTGAAACTAAAAGGTAATTCCAGCGAAGCAGTTCTTTGCATCTCAAAAATAGCTTCTTTCATTTTTGTGGGAAATTGAGGGAAAGAGTGAAATCTGCGAGCCCTGTGAATACGGAGCAGTGTCTACTTTCGTTAGTAGACATAGAGCAGGAGGGCCTTTGCAAGTAATTCCGTTCACAAACGCCTCTGGAATTGCAATGGCTTCCCAGAGTCCTTCTACGGATTGCAGGGTGGCTGCATGTCCCAGGGCTGAGAATATTCAGACATGCCCTCATCCAACTCTTTGCCACTAGTGGTCTCAATGAACTACCCACCAAAGCCCAAGAACCTGCAATGGGCTTTCTCGGAAAGCTCCAACCCACAGACCTGGACAGGGAACTGCAGCAGCTTATGCCAGGGCTAAATATGTTCCAGGAGGGTGTTGGTTCAGGAAACTGATTCCCGGCCATCCCAGGAAAAATGAAAAAAGGGGAAGAAATTGCTTTGCAGGGTGGGGAAGTAAGGATTTTAACCTTCATGTCCCACCCTCCTAACCCAACCTAACCAAGATCTTTGCGATTCACAGGAAAGGAAAGACCTAAATATAACTCTACCCACAATGGTACTGACCAATCCTCAGTGTGACCCTATAATTAACGAAGTAGGAGGTCTCCAGATGGGTCAGGACCCCCTCAGACTAAGCAGGGCAAGTATGAGCATGTATTTTCAGAGAATTTTCATATTCAGCTCATTTGTTTGATTTTTCAATGGTCAGTCAGTCCAATTTTTTGCATTCATTTGAATGTGTGGACAGGGGTGAAAAGGTTTTTCCTAATTTAAATAATGGCTAGCAGGGATTATAAGAATTCTGAAAAATCATCTGTCTTTTGCTATTTCTTTCCTTGGGAAGTGATTTGCCAATTTCATTGGAGAGGCAGTCTCTTCTGGTCCCCACACCCTGAAATCTATCAACATTAGGAAATACTGGCTGTGTTGCACATGAAGAAAATATCCTCTGCCTTGATGTTAGCTGGCAGTTCACAGAAGTATTTGCTGATGAAGGCTGTTCTGCAAGATGCAAAAATATGATTCAAATAAAAGTTCAAGTGCAGCAAGGTAGGAAGGACAGGAAAGACTTTAAAAATAAATCACTTAGAATATTAACACAAACAAAAGCAAAAAACCCATAAGCTTGCTTGTCTTCCTCATTATGGATATTTATTATTCACCTGTCTTTTCTCCCTTTCTCCCCAGGTTTGTGAATTCAGGCCCCAACAGTTTCAAGGTAAAATTTACAGCAAGGACAGATGTCTATGTGAACAGGTGAGCCTTCAACAAGAGGCATGCCAGCCATGAACTCTACAAAAAACATCTCCAAACTGTGCAGAGTCAGGAACCAGTAGGGAGAGGAAAACCTGTGAGGATTTCAGAGGATTTCATTTTTCAGATATAAAATTTAGATCAATTACAGAACATCCTTTGCACAGAGTTTAGAGCAGTATTATGAAAACTCCCCATCACCAAATTCCTCTAATGACAACTTGAACATGTATTCCTCAGGAATCTAAGTATACCGTAAATGGCCTACTATATACATAAAATTTCTTTGTAGTCTTTTACCTTAGAACTGTATGGCAATTTTTAATTTTACCCCATAATACAACTGTTTAATTTTGCAAGGATTTCACCTCCCACAAGTTTGTAATAAAAATGAAGCTCAGAGAATGTGTACCATGTCATATAGAGGCATTACATCCACCTGGTACTCTTGTGGTTTTAAACAACAAAGCCAAGAAGGTCAAGCCAGTAAGTTGATAACAACTTGTCTCTCAATTGCGGTTTCTACATTGCTCTACACCTGTTCCATCATTTATAAAACCCTACTGTTCCTTCAAGTATAATATTGTTGTCTTCCATCCTTCTTGTTAAATCTCCAAGGCCACAGTCCCAGGTCAAATTCTCTTGCCTTACTCCTGTGAATCTTGCCAAAGCCCTTCGACCACCATGCTCAGCCTCCTCCATTTCAAACTTATCTTCCTAAAGCAAAGCCTAAAATGTTGCTCTTCCAACTAAGCATTTTCCTTGGGTACCTAATGCCTGAAAAGTAAGAAAAAATTCCTAAAGTTCCAAGGTTGTACTAAGGAAATCTGATAAACTGGAAAGAGGATGGGCTCTTGGAGTCAGAGGTTAAATCTGAACCTCTGCTCTTCTACTGACTAACCGAGTAATCACATAACACACTTTTCCCTTATTAGCTACAGAGTTCTCAACAGTTAACAAAGGGCAGGGAAGAGATCATATATATACATATTTGCCTCGTACTGTGATTATATGATTAGAAATAATATATGTAGAGGGCCTGCACAGAGACTGGATCACAACATGTACTCAGTACATAACAACCACGACCACTGCTGCTACTGTTATGGCTACAATTGTTACTCTTCCTACTCTACTTTTCTAGAAATTTGATTCCAATCAATTTTTAAAATCTTTTCTCCCACTATTGGCCCTCATTTACAATATTCGGGCAAAGCTTAATTCACTTTCTGGGATATATTTAAAATTTCTAATTTTCTTCTACATTCATAGCCTCAATCTTCACCCATAACTAAAGTAATAGATCAAAAACTTTCTTGCCCGCGAAGCTGATCGTCTCTGTTGAAGCTATTCTTATGGCTCCCTGCCTTTCAGTGTTGCCATTTCCATGTCTGTTTTATTTGTTGACCCACTCTGAAGGCTGCCTAGGAATAGTGACCATGTCTAATATACTATTGTTTCTCCTAGAGTACCTTATACACTTAGGAATTTGAGTAGTACTTGTTGACTAAAGGTTATCTTCTGTATATTACCTCTCTACATGTGAAACAAAAGCATAGACTATTACTTCTAAAATCAACCTTTGAGCACAGACTTAACCACATTAAAAGGACCTGAAGATTTTTTGATTTGTCCCTGAGTGCCAAGTTAGTACAGGGCCATCAGCATATAGCATGGCCCCTATCTTTCTCCCTAGTGTTTTCATGATGTCATCTTGTATCCCAGCTGTCTCCCCAGAGGAAGAGTGAATCAGGTGTCATCTGTGGTATCTGAGAAAAGAGTGACTGCTACATCAGCACCATAACTAGCAGCAAACCTGATTAGTAAGGTATAGAATTCTCTCTTGCTCGCTCTTGCTGTGTGTGCGTGTGCATTAAAAAGCTTTTTTATGGGCTGGGCACAGTGGCTCATGCCTGTAATACCAGCACTTTGGAAAGCCGAGGCAGGTGGATCACCTGAGGTCAGAAGTTTAAGACCAGCCTGCCCAACATGGTGAAACCCCGTCTCTACTAAAATTCCAAAAATTAGCTGGGCATGGTGGTGCCTGCCTGTAATCCCAGCTACTTGGGAGGCTGAGGCAGGCTGAACCCAGAAGGTGGAGGTTGCAGTGGGTCAAGATCGCACCACTGCGCTCCAGTCTGGGCAACAGAGCAAAACTCCATCTCAAAAAAAAAAAGTTTTTAATATGGAAATTTTCAAACATCCAGAAAAGTAAAGAGAGTAATATAAAATTCCATGACCTCTTACCAAGTTTCAACAATTATCAACATTTTGCTAGCTTCCACTTTCTTCTTATAAAATTTTGCCATTCTCTACTTTCGTTCGCAAAATGAAAAACATTTGGACACTTAGCTCTCAGAATTGCACCCATTTATAGATTATGTTAAATGCACGCACACATTGAAAAATAAAAAACCAATAGAAGACAAAATTCCTATGTGCTAAGCAAAGTTCTGTTTGGTTCCTTTCTTTTTTCTGTTTAGGGCTAATGCTTTATATTAAGTGTGTTCCAGTTCAATAACGGAAATATAAAGTAAGAAACAAAGGTGAACTATGGAAGCAAATCCTAAAGGACTCTGTAAACTCACATTGCAGCTCTCATCGTTGTCAGGCCGGTGAGGCAAGATGAAGGAGGACACAGAGAGAGGGCCATCACACTTGTCGGCAGGCTGAGTGAAATCCAGACAGCTGGTGATGACGCTGTAGTAGTGAGTTGGAACAGGAATGGAGCTGCCTTCCACGTACCTGGAACAGGAAGGCAAAACAAAGTCATAGTTGATAAGGTGATGTTGAAGCTTCCTTTTGTAAATGGCGACCAATGAATATTGCCTAAGTCACTAAAATGAATGCCCATTCAGTTGAATATTTTTCACTTCTAAGCACTAGCCCACTTCTATGTCTTTGAAGATAATGTTTTCTTTGCCTGGAATCCTCTTGTTCCTCAACCTGGCAGAGTGAGAAAGACATTCCAGGCAAAGAAAATGGATTGATCTAAGAACTGGAGACAGGTAGTGGTGCACAAATCAATGCAGTAGAAATGAAAGGCTAAAGGAGTCAATAAAAGCCAAATCATCATGGGTTCTGAATGCTAGAATGTGGATTGGGGCATTATTGCTTAGGTAGAAATGATCCACTGAAGGTTTTTGTGCTGAGTGTCACTCATTATTAGATCCATGTTTCAGGAGATAACTTTCTTAGAGTTATATAAAATAGGCCAGAGGCAAGAGACATTAGAGCTAGGAGAATAATGACCCTTTCAAGCTACAATGAGATGCAGAACTTAATACAAAGAACTCATTTACCAAAGGAAGTACTAAGGACTGAGGGCTAGTGATGGACCTAGAGGTATAAAAATATTTTCCAGTAGAGAGAGGTACAGAAATTCATCATTCCTTGCCTGGTTTTCTATTATCTTAATTTTATTTGTTTTCCAAATATCAATATTATGATTAAACTACTAATTTAATTTTGGCTAATAACAGTGATCAGCAATAAAATAAATGTGCAATTTAGACAAAATTTCTCTTCCGAATGACTGGAAAAGAAGATAATTTCTATTTTATTATTCATCTGTGTTTATAAAATAGCAATTTATTCTGTAATTATCTCTAAATCACAATTAAACCCTCTCTTATATGCTGGGCTGCTTTCTGATTGTTTCATGCTTGTATAAAATTAAATAACAGCATTCCGAATTTGTTGGCAAATTCGGAATGTTGTTATTTAATTTTACACAACCAAAATACATCCCAATCACCAGAAATCTTGCCTTCTCCGCTAGACTGTGAGTCCCTTATGAGCACAGAGAATGGCTTTTATATGCCCAACAGCACCAAAGAGACAGATATAACCAGATTCAATCCAAGTCCCTACGCACTTTCCTATTGAGATGTACTGACTCAGGAAATCTAAGTGATTAGCTAAGTCCCTCCCAAACAATGAAGATAAGTGGGAATGACCATCTTCCCACTGAAGAGTTGTTGAAGAAGATATGTCAAAAAAATTAAATCTTTTGATACATTTTCTTTCATAGAATGGAAAAGTGTGTTTACCACTAAACCCAAAATTCCATTTCAATCACAAATGCCCATTTAATCAAAATAATTGAAAAATTCGGGCTGAGCACGGTGATTCACATTTGTAATCCCAGCACTTTGGGAAGCCAAAGCAGGTAGATCACTTGAGATCAGGAGTTCAAGACCAGCCTGACCAACATGGTGAAATCCCATCTCTACTAAAAATATAACAATTAGCTGGGCATAGTGGTGGGTGCCTGTAAACCCAGTTACTAGGGAGGCTGAGGCAGGAGAATCACTTGAGCCCAGGAGATGGAGGCTGCAGTGAGCCAAGATCACGCCACTGCACACCAGCCTGGGTAACAGAGCAAGACTCCGTCTCAAAAAAAGAAAAAAAGAATTTAAAATTCAAAAGGAGATTCAAAGAGGAAAAGATTTAAGGGGTATCATCTCTTCTCCAGCACACAAATACTTGAAAAACCCCTTGAGTGAGAACTTGGGACTTAAGAATTATACACTGAGTAGAAATGAAAGGCTTACTGTTTGATTTTGTCCTCTGTGTCACGTAAGCCATCGTAGTCATAGTCGAAGATTGGCCCACTTATCACGTTAACTCCATTTCTTTCTGAAGCATATTTCTTCACCAATACCCTTTGGAAATAACTCCAGACCCCTGTGCAAAGACAAAAATCAATTCTTCATGAAGAAAACTCCTTACTCTGGCCAAATTCTCTCTAGGATGCATGCTACAAGCCAAATGTCACAAGCCAAGACACCAATGTGTGTATGTGTCATTTACAAACCAGCAAAGGCAACAATGTAGAGCTACGAGACAGATGGTAGGGGAGTTTAACCCAGTCAAGTAAGTCAGGAAAGGATTCCCAAATGAAGAGGTTCCCAAGCTGAGGTCCAAAGCATGAATAAGTAGGTGGTATTTCTTGGGCAGAACATGCCAGGCAGAGGGAACAGAATGTACAAAAGAGGAAGCATGGCATTTCAGAGTAATGAAAATAAGGGTTTACTCTATCTTCTCATCCTTCATGATGTCATCAATATGCTAGTTCCCAGGTTTAAGCTTACCCCTGACCTTTCCCAGAGCTCCAGACATATTATCGAACCACCTACCTCCTGATGCACTGGAATACCTAATATTCATGTCAAGCAAAACATTATCCAAACAGAAGTCTTAATGTTCCTTCCTAAACCTGCTCGAGCTCTTGCCTTCTCCATCATAATCAATAGCTCTGGCACTCACCCAGATGTTCAGGCCAAAAGCCTCAGAGTCGTCCTTGTTTTCTCTCCTTGCAACAGACGCATGTGAACCACTCTGTCAGTGCTGTCACCAAAGTACACCCCAATCGTCCCAAATCTGACCACCTCTCATCTTTTCACTGCTTTTATCCTGGTCAACCTTACCATCCTCTCTGAAGTGAACTATCACAGCACAAAAGACTACTCCCTGGGCTCCCTGTGAAACGCTTACTTCCCTTGTACCCTGTAGCCCACTCCCCCATATAGAAGCCTGATGGATCCTTTTAGACCATAAGTCAGGTCATCTCTTTCTCTTGCACACGCAGACACACACACACACACACCCCACCCATTTCCAAGACTCTCGATTATTTTTCATTGTAATTAGAATGAAAGCCAACTCCCCACCATAGTCTCTGCCTACCTCTGTGACTTTACTTCCTTCCCCTTTCCCTATCAGGCGCAAGGCTTTCTTCCTGTCCCCTAACCTTGCCAAACTTATTTCAGGCTAAGCTTTTGCCCTTGCTCTTTTCTTTGCCTGAAAAACTCATTCCCTGATCTGTGCATGTTGAGTTTCTCCTCTATAATTCATTTCTCACTTTCACTGTCATCCCCTGCAGAGAACTGCTTGTCCCCTCTGCCACTAACTTACATAATGGCCAACCAGAGGGGCAGAACGAAATGGAGAAAAACAAGAGAATAACAGAAGAAGACAGGATGGGCAAGCCGTGGGTTGGTTCTGAAACAGATCCAATTCGCCATGCTGTCTTCAACATGGAGGTCATGAGGTTCTAGCTTTTAGTCCCACCTCTCCCCTTATTAAAAAGCACCTGGCGGTCCTTCTCATAGTGCTTCAATTACGCTTCATGCCTCCTGAAACTCTGAATGGCAGAGCAGCCCACAAGAGCCAAAATACCTTAGATAATTATTTGCAGTCGAGAAAGAAGCCAAATGGTAAGAAAGGAGCTCAAATGTTAACTTAAAACATTAAGAAAAAATGGAGAAGGACAGAAGGAAAGAAATAACAATGAGAACAGTCAAAAGGCCAGGCCTGCAGACATGTGGCATGTAAAGAAACCGCCCCCCTCGTGGAGAACAGCAAGCTCTCTGTGAAAGGCCTTCTCCACACCAGCCTCAGGGTGGTACCGTGTGCTGCCTTGATTGCCATTTGGTCAAAAAAACACATCAATAAAGAATAAGGAAATCCAGGAAACCCCGATTTACCGAAATTGAATGAAGCTGCATTCTATGTAACACTGTGATAAACGTTAACTGTGTGGGTTTCTGACATGTTTCTCAGTTAGGTCTGAGAATAAACCAAGAAACCTTTTAAAAGCGTACTTTAATTTTTCACTCATAAGCAATAAATTCTATCTTTGAATAAACATTTATTTACTAACTAGGACATCGAATAAACTTATTTGTCTCTAAACCGTGTGGCCCTTTTCACCAGTATTAAGCTGCAGAGGCCTGTCACTGTAGTTGACACTCCACAATCACCCATTTCTATTTTGAGACTCCCTTTCAGCCCTGAGAGTCCTGCAACACAGCCTAAACCTCCTCCAGCAAGTTGAAGTACATAGAGGTGCTTCCTTTTCCTACCTTTCCCATAACAATGTAAGGTCTGTTCACTACAAATGTACTGAAAAATGGTAAAAGCTACTTCATAAGGCTGACTCTATCTTTGAACACACGGATAGATAGAAGGATGGATGGATGGATGGATGGATGGATACGCAAATGAATAGTTAAAGAAACAAAAAATGAATTGCTTTGGCCATTGGATAATTAAGTGAGAAATCCATATAGACCTTAGAGGTCATGCAATCAAATCTCTTAATTTTATAAATGAGAAGTTTAATGATATTTCTATGATCATACAGCCTGTGGTCACACTCCAGGGATTTGGTTTTTTGGGCCCAAGCTCATTGTGCCTATACAATTCTTTACTTCACTAGCATCCACAAATATATATGTCAGGTACAAAGAAATTACAAGTGTTCAAAGAAACCAAAATAATAATTGGTATAGCACTAAAACCATCTGAAATAAATACTCTGATGATTCAGAAGACACTTTTGGCTCTTACTGGGTTTCAGGGTCAACATTCAGAATATGTCATCAACCCAAAAGGAAGAGGTGCCACTGGCTTTTACTGTAATGCTGAACAAATAAATATAGATGCTGTTAAATATCAATTAGCCTTCAAAATACAGTGAAGACCCTTTTTAACCATTAAAACAATAAGCATTGAAATAAAAATAACCAGATTACAAGAAAAACACAAACTTGGGTTAGTTCAGTTTCTACCATGTATGACCTGTGGTCACTTTTTGTTATATCAATTTTTTAATTATAAGGGATAAACTACTAGCCAACCTCCCTCACAGACTTAAATTTTGGATCAACAGTTAGAAGTTTGCATGAAAGGTCCTCAAAAATTATAAAGGCTAAAAAAGTATTCTTATTAAAATTAACATAGAGAGTAGAAAAGGTAAGGGGTAAATTTATAAATGTTTATTTTCATAAATAACAGTGTATCAGGTAAATAGTAGACTTACGTTTGAAAGCAGGATACATTGGAACCATATTGGTTACAAGGAATGCATCATATTTAGCCTCTGGTGAAGAGCTTAGATCTAAACATTAGGAAAACAAATAGTATATATTATTTACCAAAATCTACATCAGTTAAAAATAAAAAAGGAATTTTCTTAAATGGTCCAAACAACATGAAGTAAATGAATCTATTCCTACTTCTAACTGCTTTATACATCTCCTTACTCCCCTCCCACTCAATCTCTTCTTCACTCAATAGCTCTCTCCCAAAAGCCATTTAAAATGTTTTTTCTTACTATCTACTTCTTGAGCCTACCAACGTTAGGTAAAAAAATTCTTTGATTTCATCAGTGCCATTTAGACTTAAAAAAAAAGTCATCAAGGTAATGAGAGATGGTTTAAGGGCTTCAGTTTTTTTTTTTTTTTTTTTGAGATGGAATCTTGCTCTGTCACCCAGGCTGAAGTGTAGTGGCCTTATCACAGTTCACTGTAGCCTCAATCTCCCAGATTGAAAGGATCCTCCCACCTCAGCCTCCCGACTATCAGGGTCTGTGGTATGTGCCACCATGCTGAGCTAATTTTTAAATTTTTCTATAGAGACAAGGTCTTGCTATATTGTCCGGGCTCATCTCAAACTCCTGGACTCAAGCAACCCTCCCATCTTGGCCTCCCAAAGTGCTGGGATTACTTTGGAATTACAGTGGTGGCTCACACCTGACCTCAGGTAATCTTAAGAAATCAAGAAATCCCCTCTATAGTTTACATAAAGGACTAGCGTCTTAATGATTCACTGTTTCCTTTTCAGATTGTCATTTAATGATGTAAGTGGGGACACAGAAGATTCCCTTGCACATTAGAATTCCCCTGGAGACCTGGATTTTTTGAAAGCTAGTCACTTTTTGGCTGATTTTGGAAGGATCCCATAAATGTTCATTTCTATAATCTTTTGAGTACCCTCTCTTGCAGAAAACCCAAGCCACTGAAATTCTAAATACCAAGAATGCACAGCATAACATCCCTCTAGAGGCATCAGATATTCATACTCTGTAACTTACAAGGAGGAAAGAGGAATCCATAGGACATCTGCTTATCATTTTTGTAGGCCAAACAGTTCTGACTGAAACTTGGAGAAACACGGACATCAGGCCGGACACAACTGGTCAGATGCTCAGGAATAGCAGAGACCTCAGCCTGCGTGAGAGTCAGAGGCACTCAGCAATGCCGTGGCTCTGTTATGAACAGCCGAAATCAAACCCCCTCTGGCTTCTCCTATAGCTTGTATTCTGATAGCCTGACTCCTTTTTTTTTTTTTTTTAATCTTTGATAGTCTGACTTCTTTTTAAAAGCCCTTAGTTTTAAGTATAGTAAGCCACAAATTTTCAAACTTTTTTTTAATCAACAGAGCTATCTTTATCAAAGTCTTAAGTAAAACAATATAGAAAGCAGAACATAAAGTAGAAATCCTACTGTTGAAGTAATAAATAGGATCTCATGGAAGATAATTTATAAAATAACACCCTTAGAAATAATATAGATGTACCTCCTCTAAATTGACTATTTATCTGTATGCATATATGTGTGTGTGTGTGTATGTATATAGAATATACAAGAACATAATATATGCACACACTACAAATTAGCAATAAATTGTATTTGGGCAGTAGAAGTGTTCTCTTCCTTTGTATTAAAAAATTTAACACCCACAACCCTTTACCCTGATGATCTGTATTATATTTTAATGTATATGTGAATATATTGAAAATAATTTGTTTTTTTCTGGTTTTTGTTTGGTTTTCGTTTTGCTTTTAGCCTCTACATGCTAGGATCACAGGAAGAATTTGTAAGGACAGTTTAAGTTCTCCTACAAGGTTTAATTTGTTATCATGTAAATATTCCGAAGCAGGCTGCCTTGTGGTTTCAGCCAGCCTTGTGCTATGTTGATAAGATTGATTTACTGCTTAAAATCACTTTACTTTATCCAATTTTTACTGAACTTTTTATGTAAAAAAATAAAATCAATTAAAGAAAAAAAAATTTAAAACATGCCTCAACTGCCAAATACCATTTTCTAATTCCTGACATATAATTTGTCAGGAATATATATATATATCTTCATCTTTGATGAAGATGAGATATATATATATATATATATATCTTCATCAAAACTGAAACCTCAACATAAAACTTTTATTAAAAAACCAGGGCCAGGTGTAGGGCTCATGCCTATAATCTCAGCACTTTGGGGGGCCAAGACAGGTAGATCACCTGAAGTCAGGAGTTCAAGACCAGCCTGACCAACATGGTGAAACACCGTCTCTACTAAAAATACAAAAATTGGCAAGGTGTGGTGGTGCATGCCTGTGATTCCAGCTACTTGGGAGGCTGAGACAAGAGAATCGCTTCAACCCAGGAAGCGGAGGTTACAGAGAGCTGAGATCGCACCACTGCACTCCAGCCTGGGAGACAGAGCAAGACTCGGTCTCAAAAAGAAAATTAAAAACCAGATGCTGACAGTGGGGGAGGTTGGAGGGGGGTGCGTATGTGGGAGCTCTGCACTTTCCACTCAATCTTGCCGGGAAATAAAATTTGCTCTTAAAAAATAAGGTCTATTAAAATAAACAAACAAACCTTGGCAGTTTCCATAACTATTGGGCAATGACTTAAGTGGAGTGAAAGAAAATGAAAGAATTAGCGATCTCCCTTCAGTGTTTAACATATTCCCATGGAATTACCAGAATATTGAATAAAGACTTATTCAAAATATCTTACAATAAATCCAACACAGGATTTCTTTCATTAAGAAAAAATAAAATATTTTCTATGACAAAATTCTGTGAAGCAAACAATCACTGCATCAACGTGAGGATTGTAATAAAATAAAGAATATAAAACCCAGTTTTCTCAATAACCTGTTTGGAAATAGTATACGATGTCCAGAGTGGCATTAGGAATATTTCACTATAACCACTTTCAAAGTCAGTGTGATATAAAATATCATATCTCGTCCGAAACAGCACTGCAGGTCGCCCATAGAGGAGGTGTCTCTCTAAGAAAGAAAGAAAAAAACTGTTAGATGCGTATTAGATTTTATATCAAACGTTAAAAGAAATATTGGAAGAGTCAAGTTACCTAAAATATGCTAGCTAACTAATTAATATCGCACTTTCTCCTTAATTTAATCACATTAGTTTTTCTAGCACTTTTCTGGTTAATCTGATCACCTAAGCAGGGGTCAAGCCTTACAGTTATCAAAACCATAATGTAAGTGCTGTTTTTATGTAATGCTTTTTTTAGTTGTAAAGAATTTACAATTTGTATATAAATGAAACATTATATAATGTAATTTTGAAATGATTCAGCTGAATGGAAAGCCAATAGCATTGAATTTTTGTAGAATTCATTATTTTGACCCCTGAAAAGGCTTGTCGGGTTCACCAATGATTTAATTAAGAAGAAGGCACACTTTGATCATTATATGCAAACTGCAACTCAAATATGCATTCCTCCAGCATAAAAAGTGAGTAGTAATGAGCATTTAAAGTAAGCAGCTTTGTCATATGGAGGAAAACTCTTTAGGTAAGAACTTAAAGGAACATGTATAGTTTAAAAAGGTGGGCATTCAAGACAGTCTTCTAAATACAGAAGAGGAAAGTTCATTAGTTACCAAAGAACTCAATTAAGACCCCCAGTGCAGATTCAGACCTCCAAAGGAAAGCTCTCTTCTTAGGGAAAAAAAGGTCTGAAATGTTACTCTTTGAGGAAGAAGAGATGGGAGTTCAGTATGCAAATCTTTATTACACACTCTGCAATAAATATCTGAAGCTTGATCTGCCCACTTTGGATAGGCTAAAGTCAAAATTTCCATAGATACTTGGAAATTTGGGGCCCTACAGACCAAAATATTTAGAGGTTTAGGCAATTCACAATTCCTTACATGATAAATAAATAAACAAAAATTCTTATACTATTTTTTTCTACTAGAGAAAACCAGTTCTGAAAAACACTTATTAAATTATGTATACATGTTGCTTTAATTAAAGTCTTACCATTCTAAACTGCTGATTTGAGACAAAGCAGCTCACACTATTACAACACAAGCCTGTTCTGGGTAGTTTGGCTGCTCCAGCATTGCAGTAAATGTAGAAGCCTTAGTTAAGCTGCCAAATTTGGGAACCCGCCCCTAAGGATTAGAACATAATCTGACAATATTAAATAAATGAAATATAATAAATAAAATGTCAGCAAATCATAACAGTAGTACTTGGGAGCAGTTAAACAACCCAGACTTTCCTTCAAAACCCAAACCAAACCTTTTCTAGGTTCAAAATTTCCATTAATGTTTTCCTTGTTTTCATTTTTGCTGTCTCTGAATTTCCTGGTTTCAGCTGGAAGCAGAAGTATCAAAATTCTTTGAGAAGCTATTCTCTTTTTATCATTCAAGTTTTCACGGTTACTACACACAGTCCTCTAAACTCAAATTCAAGCTTGGCTCTAAACTCAAATTCAAGCTTGGCATCTAATCAATTCCTTTAGGGGGACAACAAAATAGCGGCCATGTTCGGATACACAATATCCCTCCCTAGAGCAACCAGGAAACGAGTCTCAGACAATCTATAGTCTCCACTAACTCTGGGTTTTCCTCTAAATCCTCCTCATTTCTAGGAATTCAGCGTAACACTCTATTCCAGAAAGGCTAATGTATTTGCAACACTCTGTTCATAATCGTTAGCAACATTACACTAATCATGTATGTTATTTCCATTCCCTCTACCAGAAATAACGACTCTAGTCTTGCCCACATCTGTCACCTATCTCCTTCCAAATTTATCCATTATTCTTCATCATCAAACACTGAGCACCCTGGTTGTGCCAGACCTTGGGCTGTAGAATGGAGGTACTGGGCAAAGATGGTTAAGATAGAGCTCTTACCCTCAATGAGCTCACGAGTCAATGGGAGACACAAACATGGCACAAGCAACAGATGCCATGTGGTCTGCCCGTATCAAAGATAGCTACAGAGTGTGATGGGAATGCAGAGGATGACAAATGCTGGAAATGGGGTGGAGGTGGCAGCATTAAGTCCTTCACGGAACATATGAAGTTAAACCAGGCTGGCCCCATGTCCCATTTTATGCCTGTTGCCCTGGTATAATTCTTAAGAGTGTCCCTTCTTACTCTCGAAAGTGCATGACGAATATTCAGCCCTCAGGGAAGAGACATGAAGAGGAAAGGGTGAGGTGAGGGGTCCAAGAGGGGCAGAGATATCTTAAGATTCATTTTCTCCTTCGAGCACATCCTAGGCCTCCATCCCCCTGGGCCATTATTCTTCTCCTTGGCTTTTTGGATGGTCTCCAGCTGGGTGCTGGCTGCTGGGTTATCTTACGGAGAGCAAATGAGAATGAAGATCCAACTACTTCTGGGCATGAGCCCTGCCTGAGTAATGCCTACTGAGAACTAATGAGGACAGTGGTTTATATCAAAGCATCTAGTATTTCAGAAACAACTTCCAAACATTGATATACAAATTTTTTTTTGTCATTGAGCAAAAAGTCTCTCTGCTCAGGTCACAAAATGTACATGAAAAACAAAATTTCCTTTTGACATATTCTTTTTGTTCCCACTCTTAGAATAAGAAGCATTTTCAGATGAAAGCACATGGGCTTCAGTGTCATATAAAACTGAGTTCAAATCTAATCTCAGCTCTTTATAGTTCTGGTACTCTGTAACTCCCAAAGTTTTATATCTCCCACAGTGGGTCATGCCTGTAATCATACCACTTTGGGAGGCCAAGGCGGGCAGATCGCCTCAGGTCAGGAGTTCAAGACCAGCTGGCCAACATGGTGAAACCCCGTCTCTACTAAAAATACAAAAATTAGCCAGGCATGGTAGCGCACGCCTGTAATCCCAGCTACCTGGGTGTCTGAGACAGGAGAATCACTTGAACGTGGGAGGCTAGGTTGCAGTTAGCCAAGATCTTGCTACTGCACTCCAGCCTGAGTGACAGAACAAGACTCCATCTCAAAAAAAAAAAAAAAAAAAAAAAAGAGAGAGAGAGAGAGATTCATTTTCTCCCGAAAAGTTTCCTCAATAAAGCTTTTTCATCTCTACTCACCCTAATGCTCTACATATATAGACTCAGCTTGCTTCAGAAATCTGGGTTCCACAGCTTCCAAGTTATTGTCATAACTGCAGGTTTTGGCACACAGCTGTAACAAAAATATCACTATCTGACTTCCCTTTTCTCAATTGTTACTGAGCAAAAATAGCATAATAAGGGGAAAAAAATACAGTGGTTTTCACAGCCTCCTAAAAATCTAACCAAGGTCCCGAATGACCCAAAAAATCTACTTGGGTCTTCCTGGAGCTTAATAGCCTCATCTAAGAAAAAGAGGAAATAATCTCTTCAGTAAGAAACATACATTTTAAGGTCCAGAATCAAAATTTAGATTTTATTTTTTCAGTTTATCAAAGTATCAAAGAATCACAGTTCAGAGGCATAGCTTGACTCTGCTAGTCTTTATGGCATCTAGGGGGAGCCACCCGTGCGTTTTTGTTGAGCAAAAACTGAAGCCACAAAATGTAGTTGAATCGTGTTCTCTGCACACATTGAGATCTTTATCTCAAGACCAGCAACCCTGGAGACTAGCCTGCAAGCCTCTGCTTTTGCAATGTTTCCAGGATTTCGCAAAGTGGATCTAGTATAACCTGGTCTTCTTCCCAGCCTGGGAATTCCTGTCACGGAATTCCAGACAGAGCCTTCATTCCACACCCCAGTTCTCTGTTTACAATAGTGTCTCCAGCAGTTTTGGTACACGCCAAGGTTCTCCTCCAGATACCACATTTGGCAAAATACTGTGAGGCCAATCTTTTTAGTGGTGTGGACTTCGCCAGCACTCATTCTTTTTGTCTTCCAAATTCGGGTCGCAGAGACTAGCGTTTGTGTTCCTTTTCCCTCCTCAGCTTCCTGATTCCTATTCCCACAGATGAGCAGGCTGACTTGAGAGCCACATGAAAATCTCTCCTCTTTTGCGTTTTTTTTTTTAAACATTCACTCCCACAATAATATGCTCTTAAATCTTACCACAAAATCTCTACCCAAGATCTTTCCTTTTCCTGCAGACTTTCTCCTCTTTGCCTTACAAGTGCTTATTATCATTTGCTGCCATTTCAACCTCCTCTGAGATTTGATTCAAGGCCTCTCTTTGGTGCCCTGTCCTTTCTTTCCCCAACCCTGAAAACATTATGCTATAATTTATCAACTGGATAAATCCTACAACAGAACAATCACTTTACAAGGACAGGAACTTCATCTGTTTTACTCACCCCTGTATCCTCCGTCTCCAACAAGGCCAATCATATTTTCTCTACTTGGCAAACACTTGTTGATAAGTTAATGATATATATATATATATATATATATATATTTTTAGATCTTGGCTTTCTACATATGACCTATCTAATGTTACCCTGAAAGGTACACTGGGCAGATCAGTAGTATCATTTACTTACTGATGAAAGAACTGGAGGTTTATGATTTGTGCATAATAATTTAGCTGCCTAGCAGCACTAGAATCCTAGGCCTCCATCCCCCTGGGCCATTATTCTTCTCCTTGGCCTTTTGGGTGGTCTCCAGTTGGGTGTTGGCTGCTGGGTTATCTTATGGAGGGCAAATGAGAATGAAGATCCAACTACTTCCGGGCATGAGCCCTGCCTGAGTAATGCCTACTGAGAAGCTAATGAGGACAGTGGTTTATATCAAAGCATCTAGTATTTCAGAAATAACTTCCAAACATTGATATACAATTTTTTTTTGTCATTGAGCAAAAAGTCTCTCTGCTCAGGTCACAAAATGTACATGAGAAACAAAATTTCCTTTTGACATATTCGTTTTGTTCCCGCTCTTAGAATAAGAAGCGTTTTCAGATGAAAGCACATGGGCTTCAGTGTCATATAAAGCTGAGTTCAAATCTAATCTCAGCTCTTTATAGTTCTGGTACTCTGTAACTCCCAAAGTTTCATATCTCCTTGGAATGTTGCACTGTTTTCAGGCAAACTATGTAAAGTGCCTTGTCTAGTCTTGTCCCAAAGTAGCTGCAGCTGTAGCAGTTGCAGCTGCACTGTTTAGTAAAGGGCATGTGCTCTACCTCGAAACTGGCAAAGAATAATACTAAGTAAAAGTTGGTAAACTTCCGTCTACCATCAAATTCATCTTGTATTCTACTATAAACAATTACTATGTTTTGACTTCTTCCAAGTATTCCCCAAAACACAAAGATACACACACAGACACAAACATTCAGAAGCAGGAGTGAGTGTATCTCCTCCTTTCTCTAGAACAACTGATATCTCCAAAGAAATAACACAAATGAGAAACATTCCAGAACTGACAAGAGCTAAAGATGATGTTCCCTCTGTAGCCATATTCAAGACTCTGCTTTAAAGTTAACAAGAATTACTAGTGTTTAAGTACTTTTTCTTTCTATTTTTTCTTTCCTTCTTTTTTTTTTTTTTTTTTTTTTTTTTTCTTTTTTTTTTTTTTTTTTTTTTTTTTTTTTTTTTTTTTTTTTTTTTTTTTTTTTTTTTTTTTTTTTTTTTGAGACAGAGTTTTGCTCTTGTTGCCCAAGCTGGAGTGCAATGGTGCAATCTTGGCTCACTGCAACCTCCACCTCCTGGGTTCAAGTGATTCTCCTGCCTCAGTCTCTCTAGTAGCTGGAATTACAGATGGATGCCATGAAGCCCAGCTCATTTTTGTATTTTTGGTAGAGATGGGGTTTCACCATGTTGGTCAGGCTGGTTTCGAACTCCTGACCTCAGGTGATCTGCCCGCCTCGGCCTCCCAAAGTGCTGGAATTACAGGCGTGAGCCACCACACCAGGCCATGTTTAAATCATTTTTCTATCCAAACTAACTTCTTATTGTGTATGATAAGGAGCCAACCGCACATAGGTGTTAAAATTATTTCTAATTCCTTTTTCACAAAGATGATGGTGAGTGCTAACCTAAGAAAATGTGAAACATTTTTACAGCAATACAAACAGAGAAAACACTAAGGTGAAAATTATACTTGACTATAGTGCCAGAATTGCTTACTACAAGAGATTTTTAAAAATTTTCTTTTCATTCATTCACTCTTCCATTGACTCAACGCCACAAGGAAATGAGTTTTCATTGCATGAAAAGTCTGCCAAGACATTAGGTATATGAGATCCAGAAGTAACACCAGGCATGCAATTAAGATCTGGAGTCTACCACATATCTAGAAATATTAAAGCTTAGTAAACAGTTAAGATCGTCATTTTTGAGGATTACATTTTTCTTACTCTCTATTTAGTACAGGATTTTATTCCATAACAATTTAAATATTTACAGCAAAATATTGCCCAAGATTAACTTAATATACCTTGTTTATCACAGATATCCCTGCGGTGGTTTCACTACTGGTACATTCAGCTTTTACTCATGTATTTTGTACAGATGTATGAGTGATTTTATAGCATATCACACTGAAAGAGCCACATGTGAATCTTACAAGTGACGTGTGTATAGCACATAACGTATTCTGAAAAAATATCAACTACTGATATCTGTGTTTTAAAAAACTAATAATAAAAAGAGTACAACTTTACATCTGTATAGAAGTTTAGGTCTACGAACTACTTTAAAAGCCTTGCTACGCATTCAAAAGTGCCTAGAAAGGGAAAGTCATTCCCCTGAGCATAATACAGGTGTGCTCACACACATGGTGGTTTACATTCACAAGGTTCTCCTCTAGTAGGGCAGACACTGAATATTTCAGATGGGAGGCCAAATTTATGGCACAGGAAACTTTATAAGGCCTGAAAGAACTCAGACCAAGGAAACATCACTTTGCCACTGAAGAAATGACCGACATAGAACACAAAAGGAGACAAAGACAGAGAGAGAGCGACAGAAGAGCACTGAAGTTTATACATACGCCAGCATCTAAGCAAGGAAATGCATTGCACCTAATAAGACAATTACTTTTGAAGACTTTCTTGTAACATTAAAGGCTGGTGCCACTAGGCCATGAGCAGTCTTAGAATAGCTCATGCTATTCTACATTCCCCTCTAACATTTTATGCCACTACTTTAAAGCCATGAATTAGAAACTATCAGTGGTACAGTCGTCTCAGAGCAACCAGTGTCACCCCAGTGTCAGTACTCAACAAATGCTTGCTGAATGAATCCATGAGGGCTCGTTTCCACAGAAATACATAAACTTTAAGCTTCAGAGGTATAAAAAGATACTTCAGTGACATAAACAAGACACTCATGTTCTACTCTGAGCGGAGCAATGAAGATGTGATCTTACTAACTATAGCTCCTTATAGCCCTGAGAGTCAGTGATTCACTAAGATGTCTCTTATTTTTATGCTCTGAAGTTTGAGGTTATTTATTTATTTATTTAGAGACAGAGTCTTGCTCTGTCGCCCAGACTGGAGTGCAGTGGTGCTATCTCAGCTCACTGCAACCTCTGCCTCCCAGGTTCAAGTGATTCTTCTGCCCCAGCCTCCCAAGTAGCTGGGATTACAGGCATGCACCACCACTGCCCGGCTAATTTTCGTATTTTTTTTTTAGGACACATGGGGTTTCACCATGTTGGCCAGGCTGGTCTTGAACTCCTGACCTCAGGTGATCCTCCCACCTCGGCCTCCCAAAGTGCTGGGATTACAGGTGTGAGCCACGGCGCCCTGTTGCTGTTTATGCTGAATTGATATGTTCAGCTTTTACTCATGTATTTTGTATGGATGTATGAGTGATTTTATGGCATATCACACTGAAACAGCCACATGTGAATGTTACAAGTGATGTGTGTGTAACATATAACGTATTCTGAAAAGCATCAACTACTTATATCTGTGTTTTAAAAACTAATAATGAAAAGAGTACAACTTTACATCTGTATGGAAGTTTAGGTTTACAAACTACTTTAAAAGCCTTGATACAGTTATTGTTTATACTGAATTACGGGACTGGTTTTGTCATATGTCCCCATATGACAAGACAAATTAAATGCAGGAATGTTTTTCTCAGACAGAAATGCTTTAGTACCATGAACAGTCAGACTTTGAATCAGCGAAAACATGGGAGTCTAATAGAAGGTACTATAATTCATTTCATTAGTGACTTTTAGAAGAGAAGCATCTGGGTAGTATTTCTCTGCCTTGGTGACTAAATATCTGAAAAAATTTGAATCATGAGACTCCCCATCTTTTGACTCTGGCAATGTTCTAATTGTTCTCATTATAATGACGCTGTCATCCACTAGATGTTAGGTGTCGAACATTGCAAATCACTTGCAGAGGTTGTGAAGGATCTGTGTGCCTTCCACCAACAATGGCCTATCTTCAAAGTCAGGTTCATTCAGTTCTATGCCAGAGTCTGTGTGGTCTGTGATCAGAGGGAGAAGTGGGATGGTGGAGATACAGAAAAGGAAGAAGGAGGCAGGTGAAGATCTTTAAAAGAGGAAAAATAAGTCAAGTAAATCAAATCTTCTACCAGTTTCCTCAGCTCTACTTAATCAGATTGGAAAGCACACATATGACAAACAGGACCATATGTAAGCTAATAACTCAAGTGATGCTCTCAGGAGAATTGGACCACATTCATCTTTGCTGCATGACTGTGGCTGCTATGCTTGAATTCTATCTGTGTTTTAAATAAACTTTTAGTCATTTCCTGGCTGTTTCAACATGCTATCCTATCTACTTGAGTAACATGTATAGGAGGCTTTCCTTCCCCTTCTGTTTTCCTTCAATTCTGTAAAACTTCAAAATCAGAAAAAAAGAAAAAAAATCGGAAAAAAAGAACTTGTACGGTGGATCGTGTTATTGTTCCTAATTATGTACTGCCTCCACCCATTGCCACATGACTTGCAGGATAGGGTCCCTGTGGAGAAAACAGACTTCCCTACACCATGGGTAACATATGCTTAGCTTTGGCTAGCAAACTATGAATGGAGTGACAAATGCTTTCTAAAAGCAGAAGCAGCCTGGGCAGGGTGGCTCACACCTGTAATCTCAGCACTTTGGGAGGCCGAGGCAGGCAGATCACAAGGTCAGGAGATCAAGATGATCCTGGCTAACACGGTGAAACCCTGTCTCTACTAAAAATACAAAAAGTAGCTGGGCATGGTGGCACGCGCCTGGAGTCCCAGCTACTCAGGAGGCTCAGGCAGGAGAATCACTTGAACCCAGCAGGTGGAGGTTGTAGTGAGCTGAGATCGTGCCACTGCACTCCAGCCTGGGCGACAGAGTGAGATTCTGTCTCAAAAAAAAAGCAGAGGCATTGAGACCCAATGCACCGTTCTGCCACTTTTCCCTCTGCCAAGAGCGGGGTATGTCTCTGATGGAAGCTACTCCTTCAGCCTGGATTCCAGAATAAAGAATACACATGGGGCAAAGCTGTCCTTGGCCTATAGCCAGCATACTGAAATGGAAGCAAGAAAGGCATCTTAGTACAAATCACTGAGATTTTTTTTCCTTTGGTCATATCGCAAGCTTGCAAAAGTTCACTAATATGTGCTTGTTATCATTGCACATAAAATAAGAGTTAGGGCTCGAGATGATCCTTCATGTGACGGGGGAGTTCTGATTTGATTCCTTCTGTGTATCTCTCCCTATCACAATATATACACTGACTCTCGAGGTAGATAGCTTCAATATAAGTACCAGCTGCTATTATTCATCATTGTGACTACCATTCCCTTCATAGGAGTGCCCTATGGTGCCTTAACTTATGACCCATCAGATACAAAATGGATTGCGTATTTTTCAGAGGGCTTAAAAGCTATTGGGGGGTGGGGGAAGCTATTGGAAGCTTTCTATTACACAGCTGGCATCTCGTGTGCATGCAATAAACCAATACCCTTTGCCAGATAGGTATGAAAGTCACCAATTTTATGCAATACCAATATATTTTTGCAATACCAATTTTATTTTTAAAAAATATCATGCTTACACTATAATGTACAGAATATGCCTCTTCAATTTTTGAAAACTAGAAAAACCTTATCTGATTATTTTCCATCAACCCCTTACCTTCTGTAGACCCTTTTGTATGAAGCCGTTTGTTGAGTTCATCCAACTTGTTCTTCATGTGTGAAAACCAGTAAAGGAAAAAAGAAAGTAAATCAGAAATATTGTTTCTTTCCTATGCCCTTCTGTCTACTTAGGAGCCCTGTTAAATTCAAAGGAGAACGCCCAACTCCATTCACATCATACACTCATTTGAGGAATTGCCATTTTCTCTGAAATTGACATTCTAGGCTCCACTTCTAGCAGTTCTATGTTCGTAAAACACCTTCAATCTATGTTTCCTTTCCTTAAAACTGTGGATAATCATGGTACCAATTTCTCATGTTAGTACAGATGACTATCTGGGCATATATATGTAAGTTAATTAGGACAGCGCCTAAACATTTCTTTTTTTTTCTTTTTTTTTTTCTTTTTTTTTTTTTGAGACGGAGTTTCACTCTTGTTACCCAGGCTGAAGTGCAATGGCGCAATCTCGGCTCACCACAACCTCCGCCTCCCGGGTTCAGGCAATTCTCCTGCCCCAGCCTCCTGAGTCGCTGGGATTACAGGCATGCGCCACCATGCCCAGCTAATTTTTTGTAGTTTTAGTAGAGACGGGGTTTCACCATGTTGACCAGGATGGTCTCGATCTCTTGACCTCGTGATCCGCCTGCCTCGGCCTCCCACAGTGCTGGGATTACAGGCTTGAGCCACCGCACCCGGCCTAATGTTTCAGATTAATCTCTAGGCACACTAAAGTGATCCACAAATTATGAAATCACTTTTCACCAAAGCTAAAAAGTAACAACTCTGAAGCCATTCTGAAACATCATGGTCAGCAAGTCTACCCTTCACCATATATCCTAGCATATGTGGACCAGAAGACACTTCCAGTAATGTCTGTGGCAACATTGTTGTAAGAGGTAACATTTACACATTACTAAGTGTTCTCAAGTAGTAAAATGAAAAAAATCCTTCTGGTATATTTATACAATTAAATATTAATCACTGTATTAGCAGTAAAAATAAGCGAGCTAAAACTTTATGTTTTTGAGACTTATACCTAAGTCTCAAAAAACCATAATGATAAACAAAATAATTGCAGGATATATACAGTATAACAGCATTTATTAAAAATTTTACAACATGCAAAACTATAGTATGGGTTTTTTTCAGAAACTATACAAAAGATTACTTCATACATTATTTAATAAATATATAATGCCAGGCACGGTGGCTTATGCCTATAATCCCAGCACTTTGGGAGGCCAAGGCAGGAGAATCACCTGAGGTCAGGTGTTCAAGACCAGCCTGGCCAACATGGTGAAACCCCATCTCTATTAAAACTACAAAAATTAGCCGGGTATGGTGGCACGTGCCTGCTATCCCAGCTACTTGGGAGGCTGAGGCAGGAGAATCGCTTGAACTCAGGAGGCAGAGGTTGCAGTGAGCTGAGATTGCACCACTGCACTCCAGCCTGGGCAACAGAGCGAGACTCCATCTCAAAAAAGGAATAAGAGAAACCATCCAAACATAGTGTGTGTGGGAGTAGTCTCTGTTTGCACCCCCATCGCATCCCTGTTGCAACCTCCCAGAGCAAACCTGCCCTGTGGCTCCCTGTTGGGCCCTACCAATGGGAAACATTTGAAAGGAAGTACAGGGAGGGAGACGAGGGCAGCTCCTTGCTGGGTTGCAATGCTCAGCTGCACTCATTGGCCAAATACAATAGTTCCTTCCTCTTCAGCTCTCTCTCTCCATGCTCTGGAAACTTACTCCCTCCCTTCACCCTTCAAGCCTTGGAGGGTACCATGCAAACTCCAGGGCAATTCACCACTCCTCATTGAATTCCATCCACCCTGCTCGGCCTTTGTAAATTACTCATTAAATATGACTGAAACAATTCCTTTAAAGTCTCTCTTTTTCTTTTTTAAGATGAAGTCTTGTTCTGTCACCCAAGCCAGAGTACGGTGACATGATCTCAGCTTACTGCAACCTCCGCCTCCTGGGTTCAAGTGATTCTCCTGCCTCAGCCCCCTCAGTAGCTGGGGTTAGAGGCATGCGAGACCATGCCCCAGCTAATTTTTTTGTATTTTTAGTAGAAACAAGGTTTTGTCATGTTGGCCAAGCTGGTCTGGAACTCCTGACCTCAAGTGATCCACCTGCCTTGGCCTCCCAAAGTGCTGGGATTATAGGCATGAGCCACCGCGCCTGGTCTAAACTCTCTTTCAAAGCCTCTTCTATATGGGCCACCTGTTTCCTATTGGGACCATGACTAATAGACATGTGATCCACAGTTGAAAAAACAGAAAAAGATTTTGATTGAGAACTGGGACTCCACAGAATAGCAACATGAATTCTACTTTTTGTCTTTCACGGTCTTTACCTGTGCTATTCAATATGGTAGTCACAAGCCACATAGGGCTCTTTAATTATAAAGTAATGAAATAAAAATTTTAGTTCCTCAGTCACACATTTTGCTCTTATTTTGAACAGCGTAACTATAGACCACGTCCACTGTCACAGAAAGTTCCACTGCCAACACTGTTGGCCACCCAACAAACTCCTCCACAATAAACATAAAGATTATTTCTACCTTTGGCTCTATGTTATCATCACAAGTGCAGCCGAGGTCAAAATCAGACTGAAGGTACATAATCCCCGGATAACTGGGTCTGGTAACTTCCTCTGGCATGGTTGGCCTGAAGGTATTAGTACGCAGAAGATGATTCAGACTTCCATGGGTCCCATTATTAGGAGCCGGTTTCAATCCCAGGAGATCTAATGAAAAGTAAGAAAAAGAGGCAGGTGCTTCTTACATTTTTTTGATGAGATATGGTAAGATTTAAAACCCTTCACCTTCTATGTATCTGAAAACTCTGAACACAAATCAGAATTGGACAAAACCAAATTTAGATGACAGACACCTCCTCATTACCTCCTGAACCACCCTGGACTGACTACATCTTTCCACAGCTTTCTGAAATAGCCATGTTCGTTGTTTAACCATTTAATAGAATCCCAGAAAGAAAGAGTGAAGGAACTAGGCTTTGATCAACTATTGCCTGTATCTGTGGTAGTTACAACCCAAGGACTATCAGTGTCACCATCACTGTTTTTCTGCATGTCTCTGGGACTGTTTAACACCATGTTTTGAAATAAGACTTATAATCATATTAAGTAACTAGAAGTCTGCCCTCTAATGACTCCACAGAAGTGTGGGGACATGAGGAGTCTTTGGCCCCATCCCCTGAAGTGGCACTGAGCAATGAACAGGCTGATTTCATAGCAAGTGAATGGTTGCCAAGTGTTTATTCAGTAATTTGCTTGAGCTCAGAAGCAGCACAGGGGAGAGTTAGCCGCCAAGATGGGAAAAGAACCCAGGAGACCCGACTTGCAGACTCCCCCTCTAACCACCAGACTGGCACTCCCTTACTAAATAGGAAAAGTTGTCCTCATTCAGCAACTAGAAGCTCAAGGAAGAAAAATAATTAAGAGCACATAAATAGCTGGCCAGGATGCAAGCTGGCAACATTTTAACTGGGCTGCAGTGCGAGAGATGGAGATGGGAGAGGGCTCTGTGCAGAACTCTTGCTTCATCAGGTCTCTGACCAGTGGTGTCAAACTGTAATGCTATGTTAGACCAGCCACAGGCTGCCAACAGCAACACTGTGAAAATGCCCCATTAGTCAACTGTTGAAGGAAGACAAAGAAGCCTTAGAAGGGGATAATATTCTGTCTTTGAACCAATGGGCAAATTACAAGTTTTGGTGGAGAAGAGAAGGTGATCCCAGAAAATAGACACCTCATTTCTTTCTCTGACACTGAGAAAGGTCACATACTAACTAAAGATTGTTTCAATGGTTTTGATTAAATGAGTGACTTACCACACATGACATTGTAAAGTTCAATGTTTTCAAATGGAGGTACTTTAGTCTTGTACTTAAATGATGGGCCATAACCTACAAAAACAGTCTTCCGAAAGACAAGAAAAAAACAGTTAAGCATTGTTAGGTAGGAAGCATTCCTCTATTTAGGTCACACCACCATTACCTATCCTTTCAAAGAATCACTAAAACACAATTTCAATTCACAGTTCTGCCATCATACCTGCATGCTGTTGACCTTGTTATCAAATCCATGGTCTCCCTGGAAAAAACATTTTCCTGATGGTTTCTTATAAACATCCAAAGGTTTCCTAAATTAAAACAATGTTATGATCAGTTAGGATTTCTCATGACATTACTCTGATAAAAAGATAACTTCAGGGTACAAAGAATCTCTAAAAAGGGGCTTTTGAAAGTCTATTTGTCTCTATTTTAATGGCGTCATTCTTGGGATGATGAAAAGAGGACGTCATTCATTTCTCCAAGTGACTTTTCTATGACAGTCATTGGAGGATAAATGGGGACCTGTGAACAGAAGTCACAATGCCCTCCTTGAACCTTGTGCTTACACCAAGCAGAGCACTTGTCAAAAGTCATAGTCTGCCTACCTAAGCGCTTCACTAGCTTTGAGATTGTAAGATTCTCAACTCTAGGACCATGTTTGTCTGGTTCACTTCTGTGTACCCCTTCCTAGGCTCAGTGTCAAGACATGGTATGCACTTTAAAAATATGTGATGTCTCACCTATTATATACCCATAATAATTTAAAATTTAAAATAAATATGTTTAAGCAATGAATAGAGATCTGTATTCTATAAAAATGTCTGCATGCAAATCTGTCAATATACAATACAACTAGAGTATAACTAAGCAGCCAACCTAACAGTAATCGTGACATATCTAACAAAGCATGGCCTCACCCAGATCATATCTCTATTTAGAAATTAAAAAAAAAAAAACCAGAAATACTGCTCTCTAGACATCAAGACCATCTGACCTTTTCTTTTGTGACAGAAGACACCTTTTGCAAAAGTATCATGTGACCCTTTTCCAAAATACCTTTCATGTTTATTTGATACAAATATTTCCCAAATGCCTATGGGTAAATAGCACTGAAAGCGCTTTGGGAAAACAAAAAAATCTACAATATGGGTCTCCACCTTTGGAATAATAAGGGCTTGGGATAATAAGACATATTATCCCAACATATAATACCTCAACAATGCAAGAAGAGTTAAATTTAAAAGGTGCATTGTTAACCAATATGCCTGGTTTGGGGCTACACTAATTTGCCCAATTGATGTCATCTTTCCCTTAACTTCTACTCAGCTCCCATGTCTTTGCCATATGAACCTACTACCTGCACCAGTGCGACCCTTCTAAGCTGCCCCTTATATAGAAGGTCCTTCGGGAAACATACTCAGCCAATTAATTTCAGTCACATCCCTGTAAATTCTCCATAAGGATTCCCCACAACTATTTTTTTTTATTATTATACTTTAAGTTCTGGGGTACATGTGTAGGTTTGTTACATAGGTATGCACATGCCATGGTGGTTTGCTGCATCCATCACCCCATCATCTGCATTAGGTATTTTTCCTAATGCTATCCTCCCTTAGCCCCCTACCCCCTGCTATCCCTCCCCTAGCCCCCACAACCCACTGACAGGCCCCACTGTGTGATGCTCCCCTCCCTGTGCCCATATGTTCTCGTTGTTCAACACCCACTTATGAGTGAGAACATGCGGTGTTTGGTTTTCTGTTCTGTGTCAGTTTGCTGAGAATGATGGTTTCTAGCTTTATCCATGTCCCTGCAAAGGATATGAACTCATCCTTTTTTGTGGCTGCATAGTATTCCATGGTGTATATGTGTCATATTTTCTTTATCTAGTCTATCATTGATGGACATTTGGGTTAGTTTAAGTCTTTGCTATTGTGAACAGTGCTGCAATAAACATATGTGTGCATGTGTCTTTATAATCAGAATTTATAATCTTTTGGGTATACCCAGTAATGGGATTATTGGGTCAAATGGTATTTCTATTTTTAGTTCCTTGAGGAATCGCCACACTGTCTCCCACAATGGTTAAGCTAATTTACACTCCACCAAAAGTGTAAAAGCATTCCCATTTCTCCACATCCTCTCCAGCATCTGTTGTCTCCTCACCATTCCAACTGGTGTGAGATGGCATCTCAGTGTGGTTTTGATTTGCATTTCTTTAATGATCAGTGATGTTGAGCTTTTTTCATATGTTTGTTGACTGCATAAATGTCTTCTTTTGAGAAGTATCTGTTCATATCCTTCACCCACTTTTTGATGGGGTTGGTTTTTTTCTTATAAATTTGTAAGGACTTCAATAATTCCTGCTCTTCAAACATCTTTCTTCATGATCCCACATATTTAACTCTAAGTACACCTCAGAAAATTACAGTACGATATTTATATATTTGTCATATGTATCTCTCTAAATGTTCCATACTGATACAAGTTTCTAGATGACCAACATTTTCTCATTATCTTCTCTCTTGCAAACTCATACCTAGCTAGAGTGCATTTGGCAGTTGTTCAATTATTGAGATAGATAAATTCACAGCACTTTTCTAAAGTAGAAAGTTGGGGCAAGAGTGAGTGGGAAACAGCTACTTCCAGGTCTGTGTGAAAATGGATAAATCCTTAATAATTAACTCTTTGGAAGTGGTTAGAGCCTCCAGACATGTCCTAGATCACATTCAAAAGCAAGGAATCTTCTCTTCGACATCCAAGTCTTTTGTAGTTTAATAGAAGGTAAACATAGGGAATATTTAAAGCAATGTAAAAAATTCCCACAATAACAGAGTTTTTAACATTAACAACATTTTCTAAAGTCCACTGTAGCCAGGTGTGGTGGCTCACGCCTATAATCCCAACACTTTGGTAGGCTGAGGCGGGCAGATCACCTGAGGTCAGGAGTTCAAGACCAGCATGACCAACATGTAGAAACCCCATCTCTACTAAAAATACAAAAATTTAGCTGGGCGTGGTGGTGCATGCTTATAATCCCAACTACTCGGGAGGCTGAGGCAAGAGAATTGCTTGAACCTGGGAGGCGAAGGTTGCAGTAAGCCAAGATTGTGCCATTCCACTCCAGCCTGGGCAACGAAAGCAAAACTCCATCTCAAAAAAATAATAATCAATAAAATAAATAAATAAAGTCTGCTATGAATATTGCTGCAAGCAAAGTCTCATCAACTGAGATCAAATCAGCCCAATGTGCTAGGGCAAGGTCTCATTTATGCTTTTGACTTAAGTAGTAAGAATAGAGGTTACAATGTAAATTCAAAAAACGAAAGGCACACACATACACACACAAACACACACACACACACACACACACACAGACACTGACAGACTACAAAGAGACACGGCGATGCCGAGACCCAGAACATAGAGATACATACATTGTCTCAGCATTGTTTATGCAGCCCACAAAATCTTTGGAAACAGGGAGATTTCCAACTGATATTTCTTTTAGCGATGACTAAGTCTGATAAAATATTTCCAGTTGCCAAGAGGTGGTTGTGGAAATGAGAAACAGAAACAGCCCATAAGCCACTTACCTTGCCACATGCCATCTGCGATCCACCAATAAATGGATATCCTCAATTCTTCTGTTGTTGGCATAGTGCAAACGTTTGGGAAGGTGCTGTTTCAAGTAAGGCTTAAAGTGCTGATCTGGTTTTTTACACTGAAATAGAAATGGAAAAAGACTTTAGATGGAATGTCTTTTAAAAAATTTCTTACAAATTCTCTCTCTAGAAAGTTGAAGGAGATTTTAAACCTAACAAAAGGTTAGTGAATAAATGAAATGTATTTCCATCAAATAATGCACACTGAAATAGATGCAAAGGAGATTAAATAACTTTGGAGATGGGTGAGACCATTGCTAAGAGCAATTCACACTCCAAGGCCTTTCCCGACTCCTTCAAGTCAGGCAGTTTGGGTTGGGTTGTCGGTGGGCAAGGAGGACTGCCTGGGTTCAGGCTTATCTGATTAGATGCTCTTATGCTATTGAGGTCTCTAACTAGCATCCGGAACAATAGAGCAGAGTGGGTGGGCAGCTCTGGTTCAGAGAAAGTAAAGATTTGTTTAATCATGAATGAATACTTTTCAGTTCTAATGGAAGGATCAAATATTCTCCCTTTGTATCATTGCCAAGACCATTAGGGAGCCTGCAGCTGACCACAGGCCAGAAGTTTTGAAAGCTCTTAAGGAAACAAATATACAGGATGGCAGGGCAGTGAGGAAAATGTTCCTCCCGCCCCCGGGGGAGGCACACACAGGAGGGAGGCTGCTCCAGGGGCAGAGGCCTACGGAGGGCAGAGAAGGGACAACTTGCAACACTTACCGTGAGATTGGCAATAATGGCTTTGGGGTCATCTGTTCAAAGAGAGGAGAAAGATTTCAAAGGAAATCACAATCATTACCAAGAGAAATCATTTTTGAAGCAAGATACTCAATTCTTCCTTCTTCCATCCCACAGAAGACTATCACTGCAGTGTTTTGTTTGAAAGATATATAAATGTGTGTGGGTATTTAACAATTCCGTCATTGATATGCCACTAAACAAGTGGAACAAATCCCATAGTAAACTTCCCTCCTAGGTTCAGCTCTTCTGGAGGGAATTCCTCCTTCCATAGCACCAGGATACTGCCAGGTAAATTGCTTCTTGTTTTAAGTTCTCCCTAACGGTTCCTCTTGAGACATAGTTTATTTGCAGTTTGACCTCAGGAACTAAACTGGGCATTTGGGGCTTTTAATGTAACTTCTTATTTATCCGCAGATCTTTGAAAGAAGTCTTCACCCACTTTAAGATGAAACTCCTAATCCATTGAGTTATTTTTGTTAAAGGGAGTTTTGTTTCCCTAGTTATATTCTAGGTGTAATTACATAGGTAGCTGCACCTCTCCAGCCGTAGACACACACGTGCAGGTACCTCCTTTATTTTCAATAGCAGCAAGTAAAAGATTTTAGTCAATACTCTGAACTAACTAAAAGCAAAACTATGTAAATGATGGCTGTGCATAAACTGTGGACAGGATTGTATTATCTGATGCTCCCCTTTTGGGCGGAATGTGGGGAGAAAGAGGAGATTGTAGGTTGCTTGGATTTTGCTTTGTTTTCAGGAAGTTTGCTTCAGTATGTTATTACAGAAGCAGCAGAAAAGGAAAGCTGTGTTCAGAAGAGATAGCAGCTATCATGAGGCAGCCCTCCCTGGCATATAAATGCCAACAGAGCAGGCCTTATCTGTATCACATGCTGCTGCATCCCTGGGCCTGTGCAGAGTAGAGACACTCAATACACATTTTTTTAATGAACATTTGTTCATATTTGCTAAAAATACATGAATAAACTTGCCGGGGGGTATAACTATACAGACTCCAAAGGCTATTTTCAGAATCTTGGTTCTAAAACTAGCAATCTAAAGCTACAATGGGGATTCTATTGACCTTGATTGCATCTCTTACTAAAAAGCAAATAAATAATAATGTAATAATAATAACCTAAATAGATTCCATACTGTGTGCCTGTCTCTCTATAAGAGCTTTCGAGGCGCCTTCTCTCTGGCCAATCACAATAACCGTGGGAGGTAAATGCTGTTCAAATCCTCACTAAGCCAATAGGTTTTCAGAAGGAGGAGGAGTTGGCATTCCAGCACCCAAGCAATCTGATTGAGCAAGCCAGGCCTCATACATCATATTCCTCAAAGGGATGAAACAGAGTAAGTTCATGGTCTTTGAAAATAAAGAGAAGTAAATAGCATCCACTCAGATAAGTCCCAGAGAATTACTAGGAAATATCCAGTGTCTGAGTTCAAGTTGGGAACATCAATCCTTCAATTCTGAAGTACTCAGTCTTTTCAGGCTAACAGTCCTCATTTTGCATGATGCAAGGGCAGTGGTTCAGCTAATCTGGGTTTAAATCTCAGATCTGCAACTTACTAACCATCATCCTCAAAGCTAGTTCCTTCACCCCTCTCTGAGCCTTGATTTCTACAGTCTATAAAAGGTATAATGATACTTATCACACAATGCTATTAAAAGGATTAAATAAGATTGTGAGTGTGTGTCCACGTGTGTCTGTGTGTGTGTATCTGAAATGGTGGTACGACATCATCATCATATTCAACGTTTATATAGCTTTGATTATGTGCTAAGCCCTGATCTACGTTATGTAAACACAATCTCTTATTTAATCTTCCGAACAACCCTTACAGTGCAGACGAGGAAGCAGAGGTACAGGGCACTCATGTGGTGAGTACCTAGCAGAGCGGAGATATGAACCCAGACATCTGTGCCTGTCACCACCCCATGCTACTGTCTCCCACAAAATGAAATCACACTGGAAAGTGTTTTTGTAAAGTACAAAACTCTTCATCATTGATGGTTATGATTTCATGGGCCACAGGAAAGTTTTTTCCCCCCGACTAAACCAGCCTCCCCATTACGTGTACTAACGTCAGAAATACCATTAAAAATAGAGAAAATCTTTTTTGCTTAGCCCTAAACTGCAAATACTAAAATCGGGGGGTGCCATAATGACTGCGTCCAATCTATGCGAGGGCAGAGAAAGGGGGACACAGGGACAGGAAAGGTCATGGAGGAGAGAGGGCAGAAACACCCACGTTTTGTTTATTTCACAACATTGCCTGGAGCTGACCTTGGAACAGTTCCATTTGTGTTGACTCAGGAACATAATTAGGGAAAAATTTAATTTTCCAAAGCTGTAAGGTTGGTGTCAATGGTTTCTTATTCCCAAGGCTAAAGACTGTAAATAATTTTTTTTTCAAAGTACAGCATAAGCCTAGGAAAACTATGGACTTCTCAAAAGCTAGGTAGACAGCACCTAAAAATCTTAGTCCACAAATTAAGTTCGCATCAGTGGTAGATCATAACCTAAACATGTAAAACATAAGCGACAAGATTATTCCTTTTTATTTCTAATCTTTCAGAGCAGCTGCTGCTTCCCAAGGGCTTAATATTTTTTCCTGCTAGCTTCTACCAATCACTTTTACAAACAGAATGAGCTCAGTTCCACAAGGCTCCTAGGAACCCTCACAGTCAAAATGTGGTTCTGCCAACCCTTATGTAGACCCTCTAGTTTCAGCTATAAAGGACCAGCCTGAACTTCATATTGAAAAAATTCTTCTCTTATAAACAGAAGTTTGTGGTCATTAACATGCTTCAAACTAAGTACAATTTCCACATGATAAGAATAAGAAATATTTATATATTGCTATATATTTATATTATTATATTAATATTTCTATAATGCTGCTATGTGCCAGGAACCATCCTAAGCAATATGCAAAGATTAATTTCTACAGATCACTGCTAGCGTTTATCATCCACATTTTTCAAATGAAAAAACTGAGGCTTAGAGTTTAAATGACTTATTTGAGGTCATTCAGCTAAGCAGTAGCAGAGCTAGAATTTTTACCATAGTATTTCAGCTTTAGAAAATGAGCCCTCACCTATTCCATTGTATTACCGCTCTAACCACTTACTATTTTAAGAATCAACTTACATTTAGCATTATTGCTAAATTTGGATCGAATTCTTCCTAGAGTTCCAGGCACTAAAGTAATATCATCCACATTAGTTAGGTAATTACTCAAGAACTCAGTTCTGTCACACGTGACATCTTCCATTCCTATGGGGAGGGAGAAAAAGAGTATTTTCAAGCAATATTAAAATGAAAATCTTAACACAGACACTAAATATAACATCCAGGCATCTCTTTACTTAGTTTTTAATAACTTGATGAGAAGAGCTCTGACTTTTGAGATTTTTGTATTTGACTTTAAATGTTTTAATGCTTCTCTGTCTAATCTTTTCTCTAGACTTTTACTTAGCCATATCATCTTGCAAGCACTAGAAGGCTGAAAATGCATTACCTCAATTACACTTTAAGTCATTCGGCCAGAACAGCAGCACAAAGGAAGTCACAAAGATTTAAAAAACAACAACAACAAAAACACAATTAGACAGTCTTTATGAAAAGGATCTATTCTTTAAAAAAATAAATAAATAAAAAAAATAAAATAAAATAAACCCTAGATTGCTTCAAACTCTTCCCAGCTAGGGGTAGTATAAATGGAATATACAGTTCTGTGTCTCTTTTACCAAATGTCATTTTTCAATTCTCTAATATATCTCCTGTCTTGAGTACATAATCACCAGTCCTCACTGTCTGCACTGGTGGCCTTGGATGTTACTGACAAAACAATACTGGCAATAAGAAATGAGAAGGAAAAATGTCAATTCCAATGACCACCCAAACTGAAAAACAAAATAACATTGAAAACAAGTTGTAAACAATGTAATTAGTCAGAACTGAAAGCTAGCAACTAAAGCACGAGAAGGTTCTAGGTAGGGAGTTTTTTTAACAACAAATATTTCTCCTCCATCCCAAGATTCGTTGTCTGTCCCCATCAAGAAAAATTCTTTTATCAAAACACTTTTATTTAAAACATTGTTGTAAACTCAAATCTTAGCAACATAGACTATGGAGGCTGCTACAGACTTTATTGAAATGTACGAGACAACCTAGAATGACGGAGAAGTTTTAATATATTGCTCAGTACACTTCAATATATGAATATTCTCTAACAGGGAAAATAATCCTGTTGAAGAATACTCATATATTCACATCCTGTAAAGGATGCCATAAGGTCTTAAAGTAAGGAAATACAACCAGAGTAGCCCAGATCTGGTAAAATTCAAATTATCACCTCCTGGGACCCCAGATCCAAAACCTTCCCTTCTTCAATACAAATTGGAATGAAAAGCAAGAAAACACACATAGCATAAGGATTATATATCTTATACTTTAACAGTTAAACCCTTAGGAAGAAAAACTAAAGCAATAAACAGCTACTATGTTTTAGCACCATGTTAGCCCAGAAAGGGCAAGTCCCCAAATACATATTAATAGAGGGATGAAAGAATCTCCCATTTGTTATATTTCTAGGAAGTCCCTTATGCCACCCCAACTGTGAACAACCTCCCTTGCTTTCAAAGTCCATCAGGCACCATGCTAAGTGCTCCTCAAGCATCATCAGCCTTTACTTTACAGACCAACTTCGTGGAGGGGTGTTAATGTTCTCGCCTGAGAGATGAGGAAACTGAGACTCGAAGAGGCCACAAAAGGTATATAGTATCATATAGCTGTTAAGTAACACCATGCAATTTGAACTCCCATAAAATTCATTCCAACTCCAAAGACCATGCCCTAAAACACTAGACCATACCACCTTTTAAGAAAGAGGTGCTGTATACTTTGGGAGGCCAAGGCGGGCAGATCACCTGAGGTCAGGAGTTCAAGACCAGCCTGGCCAACATGGTGAAACCCCGCTTCTATTAAAAATACAAAAATTAGCCAGGCCTGGTGGTGGGTGCCTGTAATCCCAGCTACTCAGGAGGCTGAAACAGGAGAATGACTTGAACCTGGGTGGCGGAGGTTGCAGTGAGCCGAGATCATGCCATTTTACTCCAGTCTGGGCAACGAGAGTGAAAATCCATCTCAAAAACAAAAAAAGAAAGAAAAAACAGAGGTGCTGAAGTTGTCCCAAACCAAATGGATGTATTCATCTTGGAAGCCTGCACACTGACAAGCCAAGATTTTAACCTATCCATGACCTTTACAATGCCTCAGCACGCGACTCATTGGGACCCTTCTACTTGGATGTCTGGCTCCAGCATTTGAGCAAATGCTCTTGAACACCTCTGGGCAACTTAAATTGAATCAGCTTTGACATATGCTCCAACTTCTCTGACCTGTCTGTAGCTCTCCACCAAGCCAAACACATGAGGCATGACTTTGCTAAGGGTTACATTTAGCCCACTCAGAGAAAAAAATTAATCCCTTCAGCTTTTTTCCCCTTAATTTCTCATAGATCTTATAGGACATTCTCGAAACACCTTCAGGACCAGAGCTAGGGAAATCTTCCTGTCATTCTTAACAGAACTGCCAAAAGCCAATTTTCATCCTCCAAACTCCACTAGAAGTGAGAAACCCCAAATTCCAAGGCTACTATTTCAATCTAATATTTCCAGAATACAGGAGACACTCTCTAGAGCTCAGTCTGCATGTCTCTGAGCCCCTTCCTCCTGCCCAGCTCTATAGTCACATAATGTTTACAATGCTTTTGATCTTAAAGAAGTGGTCATAAATTTTTCTACTTCATAAAGTGATTTAGAAAAACAACTTCCTATAACGCTTCTGCCTCTCTTTAATAGCCCTCTGAATTATAGCAGGGCCTTCTCCTTTGGGCTTTGACTTCCTTCAGTGGATTCGGGGAAACCATTTGATTACACGCCACTTCTTTGACAAGAATCCTATGTCTCTGCTCCTTTATCATATTTAGATGTATTTTTTAACTATATAAACTCTGTGGGCTCCTTTTGGGGATGTGGCTGGCAGGGATGGGGATTATGACCTGATATGTCACATTCACAGAAGCAGCTGTTAATATCACAAGGTAACTGTCTGTATCGCTTTAATAAGAGACAGATTTTTGTAGAAAGGCCTTTCCTGTAAAGAATAAAAAAATATATAGGAAGTCTCAGCTTTTGATCAAAATGAACCCAGGGATCTCTCAGGTCATCTCATGCTTTTGAATCATGGCCTGATTTCTTTCCCCGTCTTAAAGAAAAGGGGAAGGACGGTAAGAATAGAATCTTGGCTTCTAAGGGCAAGAATTCTTTTCCTCAATATGATCAGAAACATTATCCATCTATCCTATTAGCAAAGAAAAAACAAAGCTTTACCATGGTCTCCGACAAAGATGACATTGACACAGCGATGCAGTTTGAGTTGTTTCAGTCCATCCATTAATTGCCCTACAGTTTTGTCAATTTCCCTCAGAGGATTTGTCATCTGGGAAAAAGAAGCAAGTTAGTCCCCACAGGGTTCTCTTTCTTTCCCTTTCAGTCTCTCATAAGTCTTCTACCCCTAGAACATTTTGGAAAGAAAACTTCCGGCCCAGAGGCAGAGCTTTGTCTGGGGAGATTGGCCTGCCATTGCATTCTTAATGGAAATCTGATCTAAGAATGTTATATATGCTTTCTTTTGAGAGAATTAAAACCTCTCCTCATCCAATCCCTTTAAAGATTCTTTGATATAAAAATGTCAAAAATATTGTTAATGAAAATTCTTAAAGAGAGAAAATGGACTTTCTAAAATGTGACAGCATCCTAGAAATCCAAGAGTTTTGAGAGTGAACAGAAAGTCAGATGGACAGCTCCCTAAGTAAAATCACATTAGATTTTGAACCATGGCAATAAGATAGACATTAAGTGAATCAAAAGCTGTTCTGAGGTTAAAATCATAACCTTCCACTGGATAATAAATTAGAATATCATTAATACAATGAGATCCATCTTGTTCTAAGTAATTTCACTGTTGGATTCTGCAAGCAATGGATTCTTAGCAGAAGAACCTATTCTAAGAAACAAGTTATTGCTTCTCACTTTAGTTCTTTTAAAGCTGATTTTGAGTGAAACAAGAACCTATAAGAGTACTAACTTAAACAGAAGCGAACCTGAGTTTGTTCTAGAATGTTTCTTCTTTAACAAAATATGAAAACTCAATTCTTTTCTGAAGACCATTTCCGAAGCCTAAAAAACTGTATCCATCTCTCTCATTTTCTTATTTCAAATGGAAGTTGCTAACAGCATGAACGTTTTCACATACTAAAGCCTTTCTATCCCCCTTTCAACTTTAACTGTGCAATGGAAAGATTTTTAAGAAACATCTCATCAGACAAAGAATAGAAAGATAGAGGAAGCATATTTAGATGAATCTTATAGCTTAGTTAACAATCACATACATACACCCAAGATGATTAAGATAAGCACGAAAGGGATGTGAGTATTACTTTTATTCAGACACATGATATTATCTTCCACTAGCATCTTCTCAGGTGAATCAAGACCTTTCCTCCTATCATTTCACCAGGGAAATCAGGTGTAAACTTTTTTTTCATGATGGGAGTCAGTATCTCAAATCCTATCCCAAGGAGGAAGTCACGATAGAGTTTCAGAAAGAGATGTGCCATATAATCTGAAGGGATTAACAGGTGTGAAACAAAGTGGTATTTGTTTCTGAGAAAACCATGCTCTCCTGAAGGATCTCTGTCTAGATAAGGAAATACCAAATGCACAACAGGTTTTAATCTTTGGCAATGATTTATTTTCCTCTACTCAGCAGGATGACCCAGATAAAATCCAGAACCTACTTCTTGGGGATCAGTTCAGAGGATAACGGATAAGATACTGCTTCAGAAGTATTCAAAGGTTTTAGGAAAAGTAGCAACTGATAGGCTCTTCTGAACATACTGAGAAGAGTAGATATTTCTTGTGGAAATGGCATACAACTCTATCCGCCCATTATTTTCTCTTTCCTTCTGTCTCAGCTCTTTCCTTCTCTGCAACCTACACCTTTTCTGATCACTGAAGGCACAGACTCCTAATCTAAGCCAACTTCCTATTGAGTTCTAATCCACATTGTCTTTGAGAATACCCCCTTTTACCTTGCAGGGTTGTTCTCAAGAACCAGGGCCACAGACCATGTGACTGATCCTGTGAATAAGTGCAAACAAAACCAATCTTAACAGTCACTCCAGCCTAAATGTTAATACTAGTTTTGGGGCAACAAACTCTTAAAAAAGGAAAATACTTCTTTTTTTCCTGTTATGTTGAGAATTCAGGTAGTCTTCACATCAGTGTTAACCTCTGAAGCACCATATTCTTCTGGACTCAAAGCCAAGGTCAATGCACCAGAGTTTTTCTAAAACTTACTCAGCCAAGTTTCCAACCAAGGCACTGAAGGCAACCTTCAACTCAGACCTGCCCGCCACAAAGCTTTGGAACAGTAGATAAACTTACTTTGTCCTGACGAGTTTCCGCAGCATAATGATCCATCCTATGTATTTTTCTTCTTCTTTTCTTTGGAGGAGCAACTGGTCTTTCCTGTCTCCTCTTAGGGACAACTTTCCTCTTAGGTCTCTTAGCCGGAGTAAAGGGTGAGCCATAACTACTCTCCTGTACTGGCGGATAGAGATGTCTGGACTCAGAAGTCGTCTGTCCCTCTGGGTCAGATGTAAAGCTTACACTTTCCCATCTGGGATCAGCAGAGTCTCAGTTAGAATAACTAAGGCTCCTTAAGTGAGAAAAAATTGGAATAAGGGATGGATGATTCGAGGAACTCTATGGAGAGAAGCCTCTTAAATTGACGTTGATGCCGTTGTCACAGCTTCTTTGCTGAGAACAAGCATCCAATTTAAGAAAATCTAGTCACGCAGGTTTCTTTTTGCTGATATTTTTGGATATACAGGAAGATAACACTAGAGAAGCTCTGTATTCCCTAACTCCTGCATTAGGGAGAGACCGGTCTTTGGTTATGAAAAGCTCTCCACTTATAAAGAATTAACTTAAAACTAGGCCAAATACTAGCCACTTGGACATTTCAAGGTGACAATGAGGTTCATGTGAGTGATTCCATTCAGAATCTGACAGGTATCTATCTGTTCACGCCAGCAATTATGTCAAAGCAACTGTCACCTTCATTGGCAAGGATCAAGGATGGAATGAAACATAAATAATAAGTAATCCTCCTTAATCATCAGTGTACTCCCACAAATCAGAACTTTCAGCAGGAGAAAGAACTCATTGACAATTGAGGTTTCCTGTATAGAGAAACTCTAAGCCAAAATCTCATTTAAAATTAGATAAATCTTAAAGATCATCAAAAAGTCATCTCTTTTTTATCTTGGTATATACAGATCAAGAAAGAGTCTACTGATGCTCTTGCTATCAGAAACCTGCTTTTAAGGGGAGTTACATGCTATGGATTTTGTTTTTAAAATCCAGAGAGCAGTAAAGTTGACACATAAACTGAAGATAACCTTTTGGGATTTCCAAATGCTGGAGGAAAAACAGGCCCCTGATTTGCTGACGGTGCAAAGGTGAATTAAAGCAGCAAGCCTTGCTGTTTACCTCACTGACTTCTCTTGGGAGGACTGTCCTGAGAGCCATTCAGATGCAGGAAGGGGCGGGAGGAGAAACAATGTTAGTGTATCCAAGAAGGGGGACGTCTGCCATGCGATTTCACCATTTCCAGGGCAAGCCACGGCAAAGGCACTTCTGCTTCTGCCTCATCCACTCCCTCTGCTAGAGCGATCAAAAGACACAGCCCCCAAAGACTTTGGTTTTGTCCGTTTGTTTTTTAATGCTCCTACTTTTAGGCAAATCTCCATGAGAAAAGCAGCAAAAGGAAAAGAGGATTTTCCCTTTCACGGTCACTGAATACATTCTGCTAGCGATCAAGTCGGCCCATCGAACTCTATGCCATTTGCAAGAGACCTCGACATTCCAAAGGCTCCAAAGGTGAGCCCTTCTGATTGCAGCAGGTTAGAAGAGCAGAAGAGTAGGGTTTAGTCAAACTGGGTTTTCATCCAGTGATTATATTGCATGTATTTCCTTCTTCAAATGTTAGAGGTAGATGAAAGCTAAGTTTTCACTGACCAGCCATACTTTAGCCTGAATTTAGAAATTTTAGCCTGAGGTTATTAAGAGGATGGGAGGTAGAGGTGCAGATTTATCTGCTTTTCAGGATACTTTGCCATCTGAAGGTAGGGACTAGCCAGCCAAAGCTCTGCCTCTAGGCCTGGAAGAGCAGCCGAACAGGGGGTCACAGAGAAAGCATAGAAGGTCGAAAAGAAAAAGATTGCGCCAATAATCAAAAGCAAGCATATCTTTGAACATTCACCGTTACACTCTGAAACCAGGAGCAGTACAACATTTCTTGAAGCTATTAGCTCAATGTTTGGTCATCTCATTTAATAGCTTTTGAGAATCATCCTGAAAAAATGTTTACTCAAATATTTAGCAAATAAAGCATAAATTTTAACTGAATTCATCTTAGTATACCATATAGCATTTTGCTACTTAAAATCCTTTCCATGAAATTTCAAATATGAGTTATTTTCTTATATGTAAAATGTATGTTACTAATTTTTAAATAATCTTTCAACTAGTACGTTATAATCTTTTCATGTGTAATAAATGTAAATAATGACTTATAGGTAGGCTTATAAGACACGTAGGTATATACATCAATTAGCCTACAATAGAAGAGGGGTTTTGCTGACTTGCTTTGGTTTCATGTTTTAAAAGTGCAAACTATTTTGTTTTTCTTTCAGTTAAAATAAGATTCCTAGAACCAGATGAGAATTAATTGAAATCTGAAAATATCCCTTGCCTTGTGAGAAGAAAATGTTCAGGTTGTCAGGTTGCCAATACTGAAGATAAACTCCAACGTATCCAGTTAAGAGTTTACCCAGTAGACATATGAGAATACCCTAGTTGCAAGAAGTAGTAATACTGAAAATACATCACATGAATACTTTCAACTCTTAATGCAAAGGTACTGTAAGAAAAATCTCTGTTTATATATTGATGAGCAACCCTGACCATAGAAAAATTATTATAGCAAATTAAAGCATCCTATATCATGCTTCATTGATTCCCTACTCAGTACTTTCAAAAACACTTGTTTGTTTCTTAATTAAAACACATATACATATACTTTCATGCATGTAATTATAACTGAATATACATATTAGAAATCCAAAGATGTTTATTGACAAGGAACATGTATCGTTAAGTCACATAATTTTAAAGGTTTGAGTTATACCTCATCTGTATTATTAAAAGCCAACTTTTGCCATAAAGAAAATGTTCTGTATAATTTGAACATAGTTATTAACTGACCACTTTGCTTATCTCCTGGACTGAAGGAGGGTTAAATGGTTCCATGGACGGGACTGTGGTCTGGGAGTCCAAAGTTCTGTGGGTCTATCTTCAAGTTTTCCACTTAGCAGCCAAGCAAAGGAACCAGAGTCCTGCTTTTAAAAGAATAGCTATACCAATCCCTGTTTTGCCTACCCCACAGGTTCTTTGACGGGATATTATTAGCCAAGAGGTCAAACTTTTAAGTAGGAAACATGGAACTGCTTAGGTGTTTTGTTTTGTTTTGTTAACATGTTGATAAAATATGGTTCCTTTTGTTCCCTTTAGGTTAATCTCAAAGAAAGTCATCCTAAAGATAAAACATTCATTCTTGCTTTGGTGTCTATTTATTTATTTATTTAGAGACGGAGTTTCACTCTTCTTGCCCAGGTTGGAGCAAGATTGCAATGGCGCAATCTCAGCTTACTGCAACCTCCGCCTTCCAGGTCGAAGCAATTCTCCTGCCTCAGCCTCCTGAGTAGCCGGGATTATAGCCATGCGTGCCACAACACCTGGCTAATTTGTTTGTGTTTTTAGTAGAGATGGGGTTTCACCACATTGGTCAGACTGGTCTCAAACTGCTTTGGTGTTCTCAACCGGCATCATGTATGCAGATGTTTATGTCATTTTATCAATTGTGTTTCACAATCATACAAGACAGGTTAAATTTCAAAGGGTTGGAAAAAAAGCATCTAACTTATGACTTCAGTGATTTTAGACAAACTAAGAATAGTTTCACATAGCTATTAGTTACTAGTGCTTAAATAAATCACCACTGAATTCGTGTCAAAGCATTCAGAAACACTTATGACTCCTTGGTCACATGCTACAATTTCTTCAAAAATACTTAAACCAAGATATGTTTACCTGTATCTCTAATTCATCTGAAAACAATGAACTTATTTATAGTCAGCAGTGTGCTGTGGGATACTAGGCTACTTAAATATTTAAAAATTTTAAATTTGCAAATTTGCAAAAGTTTAGATTTGCAGACTCCATCATATTTTTTAATGTCTGAGCTGAATGAAATGTGGGGACATTTCTAACCATTCCTTTCCCACCTTCTGAATTTGAAATTATACTGGATGCTACCTTACAGATTGTCTTCCATGATGATGGCTGAGTGTTTGATAAAAAGTATGTCACCCTCAGCCGGGCACAGTGGCTCATGCCTGTAATCCCAGCACTTGGGAGGCCAAGGCGGGTAGATCATCTGAGGTATCTGAGGTCAGGAGTTCAAGACCAGCCTGGCCAACGTGGCGGAACCCTATCTCTACTAAAAGAACAAAAATTAGCCAGGCATGGTGGTATGTGTCTGTAATCGCAGCTACTCAGGAGGCTGAGACAGAAGAATCGCTTGAACTTGGGAGGTGGAAGTTGCAGTGATCCAAGACCACATCACTGCACTCCAGCCTGAGCGATAGAACAAGACTCTGTCTCAAAAAAAAAAAAAAAAAAAAGTCACCTTGCTCTACTAAGCAGATTCATTCAGCAGTATAGTTCTCTTGATAATTTGTCACTTTGGGGAGGGGGGATGAATATGTTCACATGTTGAGTGTGGTGACAATTTCACAGTATATAATACCTATTCCAAAATGTATTCAATTAAAAAGGGTCCATTGCTATAACTTATGCCAAGTTGATTGTATTATATCTAGTGCGGTTATTGAGGCTGCTTAGTTGATCTACCCTCTCTAAACTGCCTAATCATTTTAAGGGCGCTGAAATTCATTTACAATGTTTTGTATCGCAGCTTTCATCTCAAGATTTTTTTTCCACTCTGTTCCCAAATGCCAACCCTTCCTGATCGTTCATCCTCCACCTGACACCCACAAGGCTAGAATATACCCCATTTCCTGTTAACATCAAGTTTAGGGTAAATGAATATTTAAATATCAAAGCAATCTGTAAGGAAGCCCCTGTAAGAAAAACAGGTAGGTCTACGATTTTAAAAAAGTATTTTTAGCCTTGTAGTTATTTGATTTTGCATAAACCTTGTAGATACAAACATCCATACAGACTTGACACAAATCCTGAAATAAGGTCAGTCGGTCAGGTAGGCCAGGGTCACAGGTTCTTCTCAGGCAGATGCTAAACCACTAACCTCAGGGCCGAAAGGGCCATATTTGTGTCCAGAGAAATCAGGTTGTTCAGAATAGAAGGCATAGACCGAAGGCCTGTAAGAAAATGGGAAGATTCAGAATCTCCACACGTAACAAAATATATCACATATTTTTAAAACCGCATTTAAAAAATATTCTCAAGTTAATTTATCCCTCAACTACTATTTGTATTACCATGGAAAACTTTCTTTTTCTATTGCTTCTGTGACCAGCACCCCATCTGTGGTAACTGTCTGGAACCATCTTTAGGACTCAAAAGTCACAAACGAAAACTTGAACTTGTACTTGGGTCCTTGACCCTCAAGATAACAGAGGCTGGTAATTCACATGGGCTATGCAATCTGCTGCCTGAAAGAACAACTAACTCCATTACAGAGAAGCGTCTCTCATGATACTTCTGGAATCCTTGGGATGCTGCTGGTTCATTTATCACAGTCAGAAACTCCCTTCAGCTCTGCTGGGTAGTGGACAGGATTAATAGCTTCAGTAATCCAAGTAATTAAGCGGTCCCAATAACCAAAGTCTATTATATCCTTCTTAAGGAAGTAACACTTAAGGCTAAGAACCACAAAACTTTTAATTCCAAACATTGGCTGTGCTTCTATTCCACAGTCTAGTGTTTGACACAATTCTAAGCTAAGATGGAAATATCCTGAAGAAGAAAGACAGAAACAAATACCTCTCATTGTCTGGCAGGGTGAGCCACTGCAATATGGTTAATATTCTCCGCTCGTGAGGGATGACACTGGAGGGCAAACGCAAGCAGAGCATGTCATTAGGTTACATTTCCACAAACTCAAGCCTGAGAAGTACGTGCTCTTGCACCCAGGCCAAATGCTCTCTATTTACCACCATCTGTTTTCACTTCATCTGTAGTAAAAGGCCCTCTTTCGAGTTAGCGTTTAAACTACTATTTGCAACATATTATGTTGCTCAACCTTTTCCACAGAAGGTTGCACTGGAAACTCTGATTCACAGTCAAAATGAGGAACCTGTCTCACTAATCAGTAACTCTATTACAAGCAGAAAGGACCTTGGCTTCAGAATCAATGCCATTTATTCTGTCAAGCCTTTAGCTGTGGCCATAAAGGGATCAGTACTTATATCCCCAGTCTGCCCCTTGCTGGCAGTGTGACCCCTCTTGACCTCTCGGCCTCAGTTTACTCATTGGTAAGATAAAGCCAACAGCAAAAGACACTGTACAGCTTGGTTGTAAGGATGAAATGAAACAAGACAAGGAAAGGGCATGTCTAGTACCTAAGACACAGTAATTTCTTTAAAACCCTATTTTTTTATTAATGATCATAATTAGTCATCATTCTGCATCTAAATAGCTATATGACTGTAGAAACCTTATCTAACCTGAAACTTTAAGTTCCTCCTCTATAAAATAATGGTTTAGAAAAGGTTTTCTTGCCATTTTCTTCCAGCCCTATAAAAATCTACCAATAACAGGCTGGGTGTGGTGGCTCCCCGCCTGTAATCCAGCACTTTGGGAGGCCAATGCGGGCAGATCACCTGAGGTCAGCAGTTCAAGACCAGCCTGACCAACATGGCGAAACCTAGTCTCTACTAAAAATACAAAATTAGCCAGGTGTAGTGGCACATGCCTGTCATCCCAGCTACTTGGGAAGCTGAGGCAGGAGAATCGCTTGAACCCAGGAGGCAGAGGTTGCAGTGAGCCAAGATTGCGCCATTACACTCCAGCCTGGGCAACAAGAGTGAAACTCTGTCTAAAAAAAAAAAAAAAAAGAATAGGCACATATAATTAAGAGACTGACAAAAAGGGTATAATCTTCATCCACAATGACTTCTGTGTTTAAGTCTCTTTCCTCTGTTGAAATACAATTATCCTAAGTCTGGCACTAGCTGTAAGAGCTCTGAGGGTTCATGGCTAACATGACAATACTGCATCCCAGGCTGAGTTACATTAAGGTGCTCACAAGCTGAGTGATATCTTCAGTCAGGGAAAATTCACCACTCTTTCCCAACAAGGAGTACAAAATATGTTTTTGCTCCCCCATCCGAGACCAGGCATTAGAGGCATGTTCATGTTGAATTCACACTAAAGCTTAATTGCGGTCAGGAAAAATTATTGTGGAACATTGGTGAGCCATTTAAACTTTTACTGTCGATGGATATGAGCAGTGAGAGAGCCAGGAGGATAAATCTGAGGCAGGGGCTCCCATCAAGTGGCCTCTCTCCCTCCCCTCCCCTGTCACCATCCATGTCACATCACAGGATGTCCTTCCCCAGGCATCCTCTTTCTTTCCAGGCCAGAAAATCATGCATACCATAAAATGAGTCCAAATTTAAACATACTCCAAGGCTACTGGATAAATCTGACCCTGTTCATTATATCCTATAATTGAATTAGAAAGAGGTAGAGCAAAGCCAGGTTAATCACTTAAGGAATTTAATTCTTCAGCCTTAGAAATCCTTTGTATCTGAGCAAAATAATTGCATATTTTGAATTCTTTCCTAACTTAAAAAAAAAAAAAAGTGAATGCTGGAGCCTTTTCAGTTTACCTTATTTCACTACCTGCCTAAAAGCTGCTTTATTTTATGTAATTGGTGTTAAGCTGCAGAAATGGGCCCTAATGAACACACTTTTAATGCTATGGGAAAACACAAACTAACAGAATCTGTGTCAAGCTCAGAATGCTCACTCTTGAAGGCCCTCGTTGGATGGGGTACTTGAACAATGGTAGACAGGGAATTAAAAACACCAGCTGTGAGGCCAGAGTGCTTGGTTTCAATCCTGACTCTAACAAATGCTGGTGATAAGACTTGGCAAGTTATCTAAACTTTTCATGCTTCTAGAAAACGAGGACAATAATAGTATCCATCTCATAAAGTTACTGTAAAGATGAAAAGAGAATACATGTAAAGCATTTAGGATAGTGCTAGGCACATAGAAAGGGTTTAGAAAAATGTTAGCTTTTATTGTTATTACTAAATTTATAGGTCTACAGAGATGATATATTCATTCACAAAATATTTGTTAAGAGTATATTAGGTTTAAGGCATTTGTGTACACATAAATAAAGATATTCTTACCAAAAAGACTATTATGGAGGAGTCTCCATTTTCTTTGAAGGAAAGATAAGCAAGTGATTCTTATTTTGTGGACAAGTGCTGATTGTGTGTATGAGAATGAGGACTCTGGAGAATAAAATGAGGACTCTGGAGGTCTCAGTAGCCATCCTACCTCTGATCTTAGGTGCAACATTTAACATCTCTATGTCTTAATGTTCTAATATCCCTTTTTTTTTCTTTTGAGACAGAGTCTCGCTCTGTTGACTAGGCTAAAGTACAGCGGCATGATCTCAGCCCATTGCAACCTCCATCTCCCAGGTTCAAGTGATTCTCCTGCCTCAGCCTCCTGAGTAGCTGGGGTTAAAGGTGCCTGCCACCATGTTTGGCTAATTTTTGTATTTTTAGTAGAGACGGTTTTCACCATGTTGGTCAGGCTGATTTTGAACTCCTGACCTCAAGTGATCCACCCAACTCAGCCTCCCAAAGTGCTGGGATTACAGGTGTAAGCCACCACAAACAGCCTCTAATCTCTTAAATGAGGAGTTGGACCAGGTTGTCTCTAAGTTTCCTAGGTGTTCTAGGTTATCCTTATGAAATAACCTCAGTGACCAAAAAGACATGGCCCTTAGCCATTAGTGTTTCAATATTCGATATTCAGTATTCAAATATAATGCACAGACTACACAAATAAATCTGACCAAGAAAGAGTAGATATCCAAGCAGAAAAAGAAATGGGGTACGTGTTGCTGTCTTCACCGTCACTGATTGGTGGAGAATTTATCATGAAACCAAGTATATTAGACATGGTAAAAAATAAAAAGGAAAGAAAAACTAGATGAAGTATTTAATGGTAAAGAGAAGCAAATTACCTTAAGACATATATAGCCCTTGTCTAGTCAATATTGAAAGAGAGAATATGAGTAAGAAAACAAACAGTATTTATTAGTTGTTCTCTATGTACCAAGTACCCTAATAAGCATTTTATTTTATTTTATTTCATTTTATTTTTAAGACAGGGTCTCACTGTCGCCCAGGCTGAGGTATAGTGATGCTACCTTGGCTCACTGCAGCCTCAACCTCCTCAGGCCTGGTGATCCTCCCACCTCAGCCTCCATAATAATCTTTTTGGTAGGAGTATCTTTATTTATGTTTACATAAGTGCCTTAAACTACTATGCCCTATAGTAGCTGGGACTATAGGCATGTGCCACCATGCCTGGCTAATTTTCATATTTTTTGCAGAGACAGGGTTTTGCCATATTGCCCAGTTTGGTCTCAAACTCCTGGGCTCAAGCAATCCACCTGCCTCGGCCTTCCAAAGTGCTGAAACTACAGGCATGAATCACCATGCCTGGTCATAAGTATTTTCAATATGTTAGCTCATTGCATCTTTGCAACATCCCATGATGAAGATACTATAATTTTTATTTAAAGATGAGGACGTTGATTTGTTGAGAGATTAAATCACTAGTCCAAGGTCACCAATCTAATAAGCAGCAAAGCTGGGATGAGAATCAATCTAAATAGTCATGCATCATGGGAATTACTGTCTTTGAACATGAATTGGCACAAAAGAATGGAGCATCAGCTGATTATTTCAGAATGAAATACTATCATTTAAAAAGCAAGAATAGTTTTAGGTTACAGTACGGAACCATGTTAAAAAGAATGCCTTCAAAGTCTAAGTCTATGGTTTGAATTTGGTTCTAAATTTTTTTAAGTTTTCGGAATATATACTATGTAGATTTCCTTGACCTTTATATTCTCTTAACTAACTGAAAGTATGATAATATTTTTAAAATTATAAAATGCTTCAAAAAAAAAAAAAGGAAAGAAAAAATGAATCCAAGTCACTTTCAGGATAAGGAGATAAAATAATAGTCTGAGAAGCAAATGAAAACTACAGACATCTTTGGAGCATATAAAAGCCACCTTCTTATAAGTGGTTTCAAATGGGTGGAGAAAATTACTATTCAAACCAGAACACTGAGCCTTTTCAAAGAGGCTTTGCAGCAGTTTCAGGGGGGGCAAAGGTGGGGACTCAGTATTAATTATGTTGTTGGCGCCTCTCCATTCTGCCAGGCAAATATGTTATAGAGCAGAAAAAAATCACTTCTGTAAGCATCTATGACAGTCAAGAGTTAAAGAAATGTCATGCATAGGATAAAACTGGTAAATCAACATGCCATTTACAACTCAGAAACTTCTTAAAGAAAAAACAGAAAGAAATCTTTTAAAGGGATGCTCTATGCTAGATTCAAATCATCAAACCCAATTTCAATTTAGCCCTTCAAATCTGAAAGAAAAAAAAAAAGCTACTTTTATTTCTGATTTTAGAGAATACAGACAGTATCATTCTGGATTAATTTGAGCCTGTGATGGCTCTCAGCACACTGCTATTATAGAATAGTCAGATTTTTGTTAGGCATAGAGGCAAACATAAAAACAGCTTTAGGTGGTTTAAAGAAAAAAAAAAAAGATGGAAAGAACATCTCAGTGGGAACAAAATCCCCGTGAAAGTAGAAACAGATTCCTCTTCTTACTAAGGAACCTTAAAAATCATCAGCATGTTGATACTTTTATTAGGTAGATTCATCTTAAGGTTTATGAACATTAACTGTTTATTCCCCATCACTTCTTTGGGGATAGGAAGAAGCCCCATTTTCTTATTAGAAAAATCCTGGCGTTCAGGGAAAATGAAGTGAAAATAGAGGCTTCCCTTTGTCTCCTGTCTGGAACTTTCAATCTCTAGCCCACTGCATTGGCTCCACAGATACTTGAGACCACCTAGATTTTTTTAAGTTCTGAACCAAAATAAATATAGTATGTTGTTATATATTGATAGAATATGATAATGGAAGCCACAGCCATAAATAATCTAAGAGAAATATACATTTCCTAAGTAGCAAGTTACCAAAAACCTACAAACTGGAATAGAAAAATCTAAAGGACATCAGGAAGGAGAGACCAGCTTACTTACATTCTGTTAAGAGAGGATGAACAAAGGAGAGCTGGTGGAGAAAGAGAAGGAGGGACGAGGCAGAGAGGGAGGCCCTCAGGGAAAAAATACCTGGAGGGTTATTTTGAATTAGTAAATATTCAAAAGTTCCATACTTTCACATTTAACTGAAACAAAATAAAAATTAAATTGATGTTTTAGAAATTGAATCATAGCTGTCATTTTATAAATATTAACAAAATAAAGGTAACTTACACAGACCAAAAGAATGTCCCAGCGTTCACCCCTTGCTTGGTGGCTGTAATCCATAGCTAATGAGGAAATATAAGCAGCTTAAAATGTGTTCTGAGTTTTGGTCAAAGAATAAAAAGTTTTAAAAACACATTAGATCAGATATCTTATGCTCTACTCACACCCCAGCATATATTTCACATTATTCGTAACCATTTATTTTCACATCTGGAAGTCAGAATCATGATTTCCACAAATGCTATTTAATGCATTCTCTACAAAAGCTCTCAAAAGCTCCTGCTATGATTCTAGTGACATATTTTTTAAATTCTTATTTTATCTCAAAAGCCTCTCTCTTCTGTACCTGTCTTTTCTGATCATTGCTTCGAATGTTTCACTTATGCAGCAGAATTCTGCTCATCAAAGGACCCAAGAGTGAACCATATGTTTCCTTCACTATTGAAAGCCTCACGGAGGAGTGCCCTAATTTGGTACCCAGATGTCAGAATTTTGGAACCCAGCTTGTCCTGTTTTAGTTTAAACTAGATGAATGAGAAGGGGGAAAAGGCTAATTTTCAATCTAGATTTTTCCTGTATCTTTTGCCTAGCCTTTTAGTAAATGTTATTTTAGAGGAAGGTTCCTAGCATAAGTTAAATGAACCAAGCATTTCATTAAGGTTTTTAAAATATTCTTTACAGCGTGTGCTACTGGGGAAGCGTAAGATGTAGGAGTTTAGAACCTGGGCTCTGCAACCAGGCAGCTTGGATTTTTAAGGCTTGCTTTTGTCACTTACCAGTCATGTAGTCCTTTGGCGAGTTATTTAACATCTTTGTGTTTCTGTTTCCTTTGCAATGATATTATCTAGCACATAGGATTATTCTAAGCTTTAATGAGTTAATACATTAAAATCCTTAAACCAATGTTTTAACATCTGGCAAACATTGGATAAATTTCCATCTTTATTATTATGCAATAATGGAAATAAATAATCCAGTCATTCTAGTAACATTAAAAACAGCTTAAGATGGCAAGTATCCCAAGTCTATGAGAAGAAACCCCCTCACTTAAGGAAAGAGATTGGAAGCAAATAAGAGAGAAAATTATAGTCTGCCTAAGACCAAAACAAAAATGATCTGGGAATTGTAGCTAGCCCCTTTTCTGGTTTCATTGTGACCAGACTTTGAGAGTATCCTTGGCCGGGTGCGGTAGCTCACACCTGTAATCCCAGCACTTTGGGAGGCCGAGGTGGGAGAATCACAAAGTCAAGAGATTGAGACCATTCTGGCCAACAGTGTGAAATCCCGTCTCTACTAAAAACACAAACAAAATTAGCTGGGCATGGTGGCGCGTGCCCGTAGTCCCAGCTACTAGGGAGGCCGAGGTGGGATAATCGCTTGAACCCGGGAGGTGGGGGTTGCAGTGAGCCAGGACCGCACCATTGCACTCCATCCTGGCGGCAGAGCAAGACTCTGTCTCAGAAAAAAACAAAAAAACAAAAAACAGTATCCTTAAAGAGGGACAACTTATTTTTTTAAGGAAATGGGTAATTTCGAGGTGGAGAACTTCGAGGACCTTAACCATTGTTTCAAAATGATCTGGAATGCCTGCCCTGGGAAAACTTGAAAAGGGCCCCAGGCCCCTTGGGGCCTCTAGAAATCCTCAGCCCAAAACTCACAGCTAATCACTGGCAAATGAGGGATGGGGCAGAAAAACACACAGCACACTCTTCAGTCTGTGTGTTCTGAGCTGCCAGAGGATTTCGTGGCTCTGAGGGACTAGACCTTCTTGGCCAGACTTTTGGTTCCCTGCGATGTTTGGAGACATAAGAATCTCAGATTGTTCTGAGAGCCATTCACTCCATTTAGTCCAAAGCTCTTTCTACTCTAAAGACAAATTTGGGCATCCTACAGTAACCCCAGCCCAACCAGGGTTCAAAATGTGTCCTGGACTTTCATTCATTCTTGTTTCGGCACCTCCACCAGCAAGATCAGCTCAAATGAAGTGCTGGACACACTGTAAAACCATGCCAGTTCCCAAAAAGGCCAGTTTTATAGTAAGGGATCTATTTTCATACTTATTTTAATTGCACACAATCTTAGCACATCCAAAATCTAAACAACTTCCTAGAAGATATACTGCCTTGCTATTTCCAAGGAGATTGTACTAGGCAATAGTTGGCATCTATGAAATTTAAGATTAATATGGAGCTTCATAAAGGAAAACAAATTTTTAATACAAATTTGTCAAATAATGTCCCTGCACTTTCAAAAAGTATATTGCAGAATATATGCTGATGTTGGCATTATCTGGGCAACAGGAAGTCCTAAGAGTAATTTAGCTCAGTAACCCTTAGGGAAAAAAGATCACTGGAGGGCCGGGCGCGGTGGCTCAAGCCTGTAATCCCAGCACTTTGGGAGGCCGAGGTGGGTGGATCACAAGGTCAAGAGATCGAGACCATCCTGGTCAACATGGTGAAACCC